GTATGGACAGGCTCAGGGCTGTCTGTTCCCAAGAGTGGAGCTCAATCTGTGACCAGAATGAGGGCTAATGTGTAACCATGATCACGGCTCAGTCTGTGTCCAGGACAGGGTTTATTTATTTATTATTATTATTATTATTTTTTGACAGGCAGAGTGGACAAGAGAGACAGAGAGAAAGGTCTTCCTTTTGCCATTGGTTCACCCTCCAATGGCTGCCGCGGCCGGTGCGCTGCGGCCAGCGCACCGCGCTGATCCGATGGCAGGAGCCAGGTACTTATCCTGGTCTCCCATGGGGTGCAGGGCCCAAGCACTTGGGCCATCCTCCACTGCACTCCCTGGCCACAACAGAGAGCTGGCCTGGAAGAGGGGACTAGAACCTGGTGTGCCGGCGCTGCAAGGCGGAGGATTAGCCTAGTGAGCCACGGCGCTGGCCCAGGACAGGGTTTAATATGTACTAAAGGTCAAGGTTTAGTCCATAGATCCGGGTCAGAGCTCAGAGGGAGCCCAGGCTCAAATTCAGCCTCTGATCAAGAACTCAGGATGGACCAGCGTGAGGGCTCAGTCTGTGATCAGGGCTCAGTCAATGACCAGACTCAAGACCTACCTGTGTCCTTGATAAAGGCTTAGTTTATGTGCAGCTTTAGGATCTCTATTATTTCAAGGCCCAGGGTTGGATGAGTCACTTTAGTAAACTTGAGGGGCTCCCCCTTCACTCCCTTGCTGCCCTTATTCCTCAGAAAAAAATGCGAAATTGTGCATCTGCCTGGGCTGCAGGGCCTTTCTCCCCCTGTCATGTGCCCAGGGTGCCCTCTGGTGGCAGTCCCCAGCAGTGCCGGTTCCCTCAGGTGTGGGCCTTCTATCTGGCCAGGTGACTTTGGGAGCCTGGCCCTGAGGCGGGTCCATGGATGCCCAGCTAGCTGCTCTACATTCCCATCCCACCCTCTCCCGTGGAGAAGCAGGAGACTGAGCACGTGTGGAGCCTTCCTCCCTCCCACCTTCCTGGTCAGGGATTGTGCTAAATCCCGATTATTGGAGCCCTGGAGTCTCAGCCTGTGATGAGATTCACACCTTCTACTCAGTCACTCATCCTACAAATGTCTATAGGGCACCTGCCTTGTGCCAGGTAGGCATGGAGGGTACGGCAGTGAACCAGACAGAAGTCTTGGAGCTCACATTTCACCCATTTCTCCCTAATCCCCAACCCCCAGCCACAGCCCTCCCCAGGGAGGACGTGGGTGGGATTCACCCCTCCCCCCAGCTTCAGGGGGTAGCTCACTGCAGGCTGCGGGTTCCCAGCCTTCATCTCTCCACGCATGCCTCACCTGGCCTCATGGCCCAACGGCCACCCATATGCCCAAGGCTTCTGAACCCCAAGGCTCCCTTCCTCTGGCTCATGGGCCGGGGTTCCAGCAGGACTAACAGGCCCCCACCCTATTCCTGCCCTCAGGTTTCCTCCCAGCCTGGTCCTCCACCAGACGGCCAGGTGCTCAAACCAGAATCCCGCAACGCCCCTTTATGGTCTTCTCTTTCACTCCCCCAAAGGGAGACCTGTCTGAGCCACCCAGAAACAGGTGGGGCCTCTGTCCACTGTGCAGCCAGCGCTGCAGCCCCAGCCCACAGCACGTCTGTGTGCAATAAACTCCTAACCCACTCCTTGCTTCCCTCTTGCCCCTCAATATGCTAGTTCCACACAGCAGGCGGAGCCACTTTTACAGTCATAAATCAGATCACGTCGCCTCCCTGCTTGAAAGTGCCCAGTGGCTCCCATCTCACCGAGGAGAAGCCACCTCCTGGCCCTGGCTTACAGAGCTTTCCCCGGACTGAACGGTGCCCTTCCCTCCTCTCCGCTTCACCCCCCACCCCGTGCTCTCCCCAGCGCTTCTCTTCTGATGCACACAGGCCAAGTTCATGCTAACCTGAGGGCTTTTTGCACGGCTTGCTCCGGACTTCCTTCGGTTGGAGCTCAGCTTAAATGTCACTCTCTGGGACCTTGCTGAGCCTCCAACAAGTCCCTCTGCCACACCTCGCCGCTGCGATTTCTGGTTAATGTTTGGTCTCCTTCTGTAGAACAGGAGTGCCAGGAGAACACAGCCGGGCTCAGGGACTATTTGAAGCAATGAGTAAATCCTGGTTCTGAGTGGCTGGCCTCATTTTTCCTAGCGAGAAGGGGGGACCCCAGCTCCTGGCTCCCTCCAGGAGGCGGGGCTCCCTGTGTGCCCCAGAGCTCCCCAGGCCTCATTCCAGAGGGGCAGCTCTGGGTCCTCCACGCAGCCCCCCAGACCTCTAAGCACAGGGTCTCTTGGGGGCAGAGGTGGGAGTGGGAGGCTTCAGCCTTCAGCACAGCCCCTGTGCAGCACCCCTGCTCAAATCTCTCAAGGTCGGGCCGGCGCCGCTGCTCACTAGGCTAATCCTCCGCCTAGCGGCGCCGGCACACCGGGTTCTAGTCCCGGTCAGGGCGCTGGATTCTGTCCCAGTTGCCCCTCTTCCAGGCCAGCCCTCTGCTGTGGCCAGGGAGTGCAGTGGAGGATGGCCCAGGTGCTTGGACCCTGCGCCCCATGGGAGACCAGGAGAAGCACCTGGCTCCTGGCTCCTGCCACCGGATCAGCGCGGTGCGCTGGCCGCAGCGCGCCGGCCGCGGCGGCCATTGGAGGGTGAGCCAACGGCAGGGGAGGACCTTTCTCTCTGTCTCTCTCTCTCACTGTCCACTCTGCCTGTCAAAAAAAAAAAAATCTCTCAAGGTCAAGGACCTGGTGACCCTGCCCCATTGGGATCATGTGCTCTTCTTCAACAGAAACTGGCCTGGAACCTGTGTGTATGGGGGGGGTGTACCTGCCAGGAAGTGGGGACCAAGCACACCCTCCAGCCTCACTGTGGGTGTGGGTGTGGCAGGCCTGAAGAGTGGAGGCCCCGGGGCAGGGGTGTGCAGTCTCCCCTGGTGTCTGTGCCGGGCACCCAGAGGAGACGATGGTGGGTGGTGGTTGTCAGCTGCAGTGGCAGTGGAAGGGTTCAGAGCCAGCGCTGCTGCTCCACCCCATTGGGTTGTTGTTGTTGTTGTTTTAAAATTTATTCATTTTTTGAAAGGCAGAGTGACAGAGACAGGAGAGATGGGGAGAGGAAGAGAGAGAAGGGGAAGAAGGGGGAGAGGAAGAGAGAGAAGGGGAAGAAGAGGGAGAGGGAAAGGGGGGGAGAGAGATTGGAGATGGAGAGAGAGAGAGATTTTTCATTCTCCCTGAATGGTTGCAACAGCCACATTGAAGCCAGGAACCAGGAACTCCATTAGGGTCTCCCACGTGAGTGCAGGGGCCCAAGCACCTGGGCCCTCTGCTGCTGTATCCCCCTTCCCAGGCAGATTAGCAGGGAGCTGGATCAGCAGAGCGGCAGGGACTGGAACCGGCCCTCTGACATGAGCTGCTAACCCATTGTGCTACAACACTGGCGCCACTGCCGTCCCTGTTCCACTCATGCCGTTGCTTGGGCCTGGGGCCTCTGCCCTGCGCCCCTGTCCTATGCTCTCTCTTACTCCCCAGCCCCAGGCTCCCAGGACAGGCTCTAGCAGTCCTCCTGTGGAGCCAAGAAGGAGCCTGGGAGTGTAGCTCCCGGCAGGGCCGGCAGGCAGGACAGGGGCTGGATGAGCATTGCAGGGGGATCCCAGCCTGTCCTGAAAAGGTGGTCCAGGCCACACCCAGGGCAGTATCTGAAGTGGCCCCCTCACCTTCTGCTCCACCAGGGCAGCAGGTGGCATTGGAGGGTGCAGACCAGTGAACCAGAAGAGAGGCCTGGAGCTGGGGGGTGGCCTTCCTCACGCACGTGTGCACACACACACAAGCACAGTGCACACGCGCATGCAAGGTGGGGCAGGGGCAGTGTTCTGAGAAGAGGCTGTCACCTCCGGGGCTGGGTGCTTCAGTGGTTAGTGCCCACTGACCCGCAACAATCAATAGAGTTGACCTGCTCGGTCTCTCCTGCGGCTCAAGGGGAGGGGTAGAGACGGGGTCAGCTGAGGGAAGACAGAACTCTGGGGCTGGTGGGAAGTGCCTGGGCCATGGCAGAAGAGCAGCAGGGCCCATCTTGGGGAGGCGGTGAAGCTGGGGAGTCATGGTCCCCAGCAGGTATTGCAATGCGTGCTACCCTCGCGCTGGCCTGGGTCCCTGCAGGGACAGGAGGGGTGGGCCAGAGTTGCAGGACCTTTTCCTGGTCCCCTGTCCCCTTGTTCCTTCTTCTGCTGCTTCTTTTTTTTTTTTTTAACTAAAGATTTATTTATTTATTTGAAAAGCAGAATTAGAGAGAGGCCGAGGCCGAGAGAGAGAGAGAGAGAGAGAGGTCTTCCATCTGCTGGTTCACTCCCCAGATGTCTGCAACTGCCAGAGCTGTGCCAAAGCCAGGAGCTAAGAGCTTCTTCCAGGTCTCCCATATGGGTGCAGAGGCCCAAACTCTTGGGCCATCTCCCACTGCTTTCTCAGGCCCTAGCAGGGAGCTGGATAGGAACTGGAGCAGCTGGGACTCGAACCAGCGCCTACATGGGATGCCAGCTCTGCAGATGGTGACTTTACCTGCTACGTTGCAGCGCCTGGAAACCACCCCCCCCCCAATGTGGTCCCTATTCTCCACCAGATGCCCTCAGCTTCCTGGACAGACCATAGGCTGGGCCATGTCCAGTCAGGCCGGAAGAAGGGATTGGCCTTTGCACAGCCCTGGGGAGCCTTTGTCCCCTTATCATCCCTGTTGGGAGCCAATGTCCTCCACCACAACCACAGCCACCTCCCACTCCCCTACATGTGTGAGGCCAGTGTTACCCAAACCTCACACCTGAGCCAGGACTTGCACCCACAGTCGCATTTCTCTCTTCACCTTGCCCCCACCCTAGCCACCGAACCTGTGCCCACAGTCACCCACTGCTCTCCCCTGCTGGGTCTCCAGCTAGTGCGGTGCTAGGACACTGAAGCCACTGGCCACAGGTGGGAGCGAGCCCAGAACCCAGGATGCTCAGGCAGAGGCTTGCAGAACACAGACTCCAAGGGTGCTTTATTGAGGAGGCACCGGGAGAACGGATGGTGTGGCCTGGTCGCCGCGGGTGGACAGTGAGGGTTGCGCAGAGACCTTCAGGGTTGTAGGAACCCCCCAGCCCTGCTCCCCGAGTCAGAGAGAGGGGAGGGTGTGCTCTCAATGCAGCTCCAGCCTACGGACCATACTGGCACAAGCCAGAACCGCCCTTGATAATCCCAATCCCATGCTGTGACAGACACGGGTGGCAGGGGCAGGCGAGGGCGTTGTCACGGTTTGCAGGGACAGGTACAGCCCTGGCTGACCTTCCTCCCTCCTCTCCCTCTCCCTCCCACTCCCTTGGCATGAAGGCGTCTTGGTTCAGTGCCCAAATGCCATGGGGGGAGGGGCTGAAGTCAGAGTTTCAGGGTTCAGGGACTCATTTGCATCGTCAGGGGGACGAGGTGAAGTAGGGCCCAAAAGCCCCACATAGGGACCAAGGCTTCGCTTCCTGTTTAGGGACGCGAGTCCTTCCGCCATCACCACGTTGTCCCCTGCTGAAGGTCCGGAGACGGGACAGAGGAGGCCACCTGTGCCCTTCTGAAAAACATTTTCTTGTAAGTGCTTAAACAGCACTAAACGGAGAGCAGCCGGGCAGAGGAGTCCGGCCGGGGGCCCGGTCCGCTAGGGGGCGGCCCGCTCCCGGGGCAGGTTGAGTTGAAGTCCTTCGGTGCGTGGCGCGCAGATGGCTGCAGGCGCCGGCGCGTCCAGGGCGAAGGGGCCCGGGCCCGGGCTGGAGCGGCCGGAGGACGCGGCCGACACGGCGGGGCTGAGCTGCACGGCCGTGGTGTCCTGCGCCGTGCGCTCGCTGCTCTCCATCTCCAGCGCCACCGGCCCGGCGCGGCCGCCGCCCCGGCCTAGGTCCGCCGCGGCCGCCGCCGAGCGCGCACGGGGCGCTGGGCCCCGGCGGCTACACACGCAGCAGGCGGCGAAGAAGCCCAGCGCTAGCGCGAGCAGCACCGGCCCCACGACGAGCGGCGCGTTGTGCCCGGGCAGGAAGGAGGCGAAGGCGCCCACCAGCGTCACGTTCACGCCCGCCAGCAGCACGCACAGACCGCAGGCGCAGCACAGTGCGGGCGAAGGCAGGCCGGGTAGCCGGCCCTGAGCGCGGCCCGTGGGGGCCCGAGCCCTGGGCCCCGTGCTCTTCTTCTCCGCGGGCGGCATTGGCCTGCGCCCTCCTGGCACGCATCAAGTGGCCTCCTGCCGCCAAGTTCAGGGTCGTCCTGTGGGCAAACAGCAAGAGGGAGGAGTCAGCGGGGCGACTCAGTCTCCAACCCCAGACTCACTTCTGTGGCTACATTCATCTTGGCCAGCCCCCTGCCTCTAGGAAGCAACAGCTCATTCCATATGGCGAGATTCTGCCCATGGCTTCCCCACACAGTCCATAAAGCCCCTGTTCCCGCAGTCTTCTCTCCCTCCCCACTTCCTCTGGCCTCCCAGATAGCTGCAGTCCCTCCACCTCCAGGCAGCCTTCCTGGGTTAAGTGAATGGCTGTAAGTGCTCAGCAGGTGCTCATTAAACGAGAATCCTCATCAGTAGTCCTAATTAGAGGGCAGGTGGCCACTTTTGGGACTTAGAACACCCCCCAACCCTGCTCCCCAAGTGCAAGAGGCCTTGGACATCCTCTGGTCCAGCCCCTCCTCCATCAGGTGAAGAAACAAGCCCGGGGCAGAGGTAGTTTTCTCAGGATCGTGGGCCAGGACCTAAATGACTTGCTGCCCTCAGCAGGCTCTGGTAGGGACAGCAGTGACATCAATGCTCTTGTACATCAGACGAGGCCCTGAGTGAGTGGCCCTTGAGAGGGAGGACCTCCCGCTGCTGCAGGTGTCCAGTGGGAGCCGACAGTCCCCAGCGGGGCTGTGCCGGGCTGCAGCACACCCAAGATCCCCGGGGCCCTTTCTGGACTGGGCATTCTATTCGATGCCAAGCCTATGTCCGTTCCACCGCCCAGGGCTCTGCTGTGGAACCTGGATGTGAAGCCCCACCACTGGACGCCAGAATTCCTTTCTAGGATTCTCCAGGGGCGCCTGGTTCTGGGATCTATGCCTGGACTGCAGAATGCTGCACATTTCCTCAGAAGCCGGAGGAATGTCATCCCAGTGCAGGGATTCAGGCTTCTGTATGAGAATTCCTTTCTGTAACATGAGATGGCAGCTCAAAGGCCCTCGAAAGGACCAGATCATGCTTAGTAAGTTGTGTTAGCTTTGTGAACAGACAGCAGGCAAGGGGCCTGGGTGGGGTGGGGTGGGGGTGGGGTGAGGCACAGGGGGCTGGCCAGGACCAGTGGCCCCACATGCTGTGCTCAGCGTTGTCACCCACAACGCCACCTTGAATACAAGTCAACTTCATCCTTGTGGTTGACACAGAAGGGAATCGAGAAGTTTTGGCCCTGGGAGGTCGGTCAGGACCGCTTTGGCAGCAGCAAAGCTGCCCACTCCCTGCGTGGAGGAACCTTCAAAGCCCGCACCGCACCAGGGCCGAGGAAGCCGCGTGCTGCATGGGTGAGGATGAGTGCGGGGCCAGGGAGGTGCGGCTCAGCTCCTTCACTACGGACAAAGGTGGGGCTCTGCTAGGCTCAAGCAGGTCAGTGGCCCTGGAGGACCTCCCCCAGGTTGGTCCCAAGCTGGGACTCCAGGGTTCCCTCCCCCTGTCACCACGCTGAGAGCTGGCGGTTCTACTGGGACTCCATATCAAGCTGGCAGGCAGTTAGAGACCCCCAAACCCTGGCAAAGACAGACAGCTGACGGGGTGGGCTGTGAGACCTCCAGACCTCCCCTTGAACCCCTGCTCCAGCGCACTCAGTAGTGCAGGGTCTTCCTGCCCCTGGGAAGGTCTCAGGCTGAGGCTGCAGGCCATGCCTCTGCTGGAGGGGACGGAGACAGCCCTCCCTTCCCCTCCCCTCCCCTCCCCCCAAGTGATGCCAGGTTCTTGGGAGCAGAGAGTGGACAAGGGTCTGGGGGCCCTGGGTGGCTGGAGGGTCCAGGAATCTCCTGTGCTTTCCCTCACAGGGAAGACTCTTTGGGTTTCCACAGTCCTACTCTGAGGCGCCCAGGTAGGATTTTCTTTATATTTCTCTATTTTTTGGGATCCCTGTGGCTTGCTGTCTTGTGTGAGTTTGGAGCAATTTCTGGCCATTGTCTTTACCCCCTCTTCTCTCTCCTCTCTTCCTGGAACCCTGACTGCACCCAGGCTCGCCGTCTGACAGTGTCTCACTTGGCTATCACACTCTCTTCTGTGTTCCCCACCCTTCCCCCATCTGTTTCAGGCTGGGCATCCTCCTACTGATCTGTCAGCCCGTTCACCAGCCCCGTCTGCACGCGTTTTCTCTGTGGCTACATCTATCTGTTGAGGTTCCGGTTTCCGCTGTTGTAACTTTTCAGTTCTAGAATTTCCACTCGCTTCTTTCCCACGGATTCTAGTTTGCCACGGGAAGATGTTCTCTTGTTCTCTACCTTCTGCAGCATGTTAAAGCCTGTGAAGTTCATGTCCGAGAGCTCCAACATCTGGATCTCCTGTGGGTGTTCCTGTTGTCTGTTTCGTTGTTCGATGGCCATTTGGTCTCATCTGGAAGCCCAGGTAATTGTTTTCTTGAACGCCCCGCATTGGCTATGACAAAACTGCAGCAGGAGACTCTGGGTGATGTCATCTTCCTCCAAAGACAGGCAGCCAGAGGGGCCACACCCCCTAACCCGACCTGGGGCTGTGTGGCCTGGGGGCCTTCAGTCTTTCTCAACCTGATGTAACCACTCTCCTGGTATGTAGCCCTTTGGGCCACCTGGCTAAATGCTGGAGGGGTTGAACAGGACCTCCTCCCCTTTTAAACCCTAAATTATAATTTTGATGCCTCAATCCCCTGGCCATACAGTCTTCTATAAACTAGAAAATGCCTTAAGAGAAAAACTCCAACAAAATATTGCTTTTCTTTTCTCCAACAGCTTGGGCCCCTCCAGTCCTTACTACCTTTTGGCTTTCCTGGGCCTTTAAAAGACTTCCTAAATCTTAATCCAGCTTCAAACAATGATCTCAGTATAAGCCAGTCTACCGTGGCCAGAAGCAGAACTTGACTTGAGAATCTGATGTTTCTACTTTCAGGTGGGTGATTCACTGCTGAGCCCTCCAGATCACTCCACAGCAACACCACTTACGTTTTCGACATGAGATTAAGTATTGCTGTCATATCTCTGTTTTACAGATGGCACCAAAAGATGAAGCAAACTCACCCAAGACCACTGACTGATGGTGGTGGTGCCCGGATTTGAAACCCTGATGTCCCAGCCCCAAAGTCTGCACTCTTAATGGAGTTGGCTTTGCAGAGTGTAGGTCAGGGCCGAGGCCTGGAGCCCAGGCCTTCTGGCAGGCCCTGTAGGTGGTAAGCGCCTCTCATTAGCACCCACACTACTCAGACAGTAGAGGGTGGGGTGGTGTCCCAAGGTAAACAGAAAGCAAATTTGCACCCAGGGGCGGTGCTTCCCAGTACTAATTGCCAATGGAGGATTCTTATCTGCTGCTGGGAGGCAGAGCCTGAGACAGAGCAAATCCCAAGCACAGAAGAGCTGTGGGGGCACGGGCTTCCTGCTGAAGTGGCCTCCGCTCTGGCCGTCTGGGGTCTGGGGTGTGCACGGGGAGGCGCTGAGGTGGCTCAGCTGTCGCAATTCAGCGTGCCCTTCCCCGTGTTGTCTGGCACACGGTGGCCTTCCAGTAGCTGCTGCTGCAGTGTTGGTCCTGTGTCACTGGTGCTCCTGGTGCTGCTCACTACACCTTTTTGGTTCCCTCCTCTTCTGAGCGCCTGGCCAGTCCGTGTGACTGGTTCTGGCTGAGGCAGTCTCACCGCGGGCCACCCTTTCTACTCCTTCAAGCCCAGCCCTCAGCCCAGGGCCTGAGCAGAGGGAAGGCAGCTGCCGCGGATCCTGAGTTGCTAGGACTGGAAGACCGTCACTTCAGTGACTGTGCCATGCTGTCGAATCCGTAGCCATCCCTTGGTTCTTTTTTTTTTTTTTTTGACAGGCAGAGTGGACAGTGAGAGAGAGAGACAGAAAGGTCTTCTTTTGCTGTTGGTTCACCCTCCAATGGCTGCTGCGGCCGGCTCGCTGTGGCCGGCTCACTGCGGCCAGCGCACCGCGCTTATCCGATGGCAGGAGCCAGGTGCTTATCCTGGTCTCCCATGGGGTGCAGGGCCCAAGGACTTGGGCCATCCTCCACTGCACTCCCTGGCCACAGCAGAGAGCTGGCCTGGCCTGGAAGAGGGGCAACCGGGACAGAATCCGGCGCCCCGACCAGGACTAGAACCCCGTGTGCTGGCGCCGCAAGGCGGAGGATTAGCCTAGTGAGCCGTGGCGCCGGCCATCTCTTGGTTCTATTCCTTCCACTGCAGCTGGGAGAAACTAAGGCCTGGGGTAGGGACAGTCATGGGTGGAGTATGTGGCCACGCCAGACCAAAGCCAGGCCTTTCCCTGCCCAACCAGGGCCCTGACCACTGCCACTGGGCTGTCCGTGACTCTGGCCAACCAATCCATCCTCCTGGCTGCCCTGTCTCTGGCTGGGAAGGCCTTGTGGTTTCTGGGAGTTTGGGCTAGAAGGACTTTGGGGGGCAGGGCAGGTTTCAGATGATCTGGGTTTTAAAATTCTGATCTGGTTGGGCAACTTGGGATGGCGCCCGAATGTATAACCAGGTTATGTTCCCCAAACTGAGGTCCCTCATCAGCCTGCTGGCCTGCTCTCAGTAGGTGGCAAAGGTCTCACAAAACAGCGCCTTGATCTGTGGCTCAGTTGCACCTGCTCACTGTTCCGCATTCTTCGCTTTGGGCTGGGCTGCCATCATTTCCCGAGAGGGCCCCACCGTGGGGGAGGGGCTCACAGCAGCCCCTCTGTGCCAAGCTCCTTCCCTCTGTTAACACATTTCATCTACTTCCGTCCTGTCCCCAGTTCCCAGCAAGAAAACCTGGGCTCAGTGAGGGGAAGGGGCTGTCCCTACTCAGCTGTAACAGGAAGGCTGGGACTCCAACCCAGCTCTGTCCGATGGAAATGCGTGTATTCTGCTCCACCGAAACAGCTGCTTACTGGAAGGTCTGGGGGTGTCTGCTTACCTAACGAAGCAATCATGGGTTGTTACTGTCCAGGTCGTCACCAACAAGCTAGGGGCCCGTGGAGGGTCTCAGCGGATGGGGGCACGGGCTCTGGGCGGGGGAGGTCTACATCTGAAGCCCCTTCAGGTTGGCCTGACCCACTCCCTCAGTCCAGGGTTCTGCAATGTTTGTGTCACACAACAACAGGTGCTGGACCAGGGTCCAAGAGCCTCTGGGAAAGGGGGCTGGGCTTCAGTGCACACAGCAGTGCTGGGCCTGGCCCTGGGTCCCTCGTGTGCCCAGTCTGGACTCCACCCTTCACTGGGAACTCCTCTGTGCCCCTTAGTCTTAACACTTCTGTTCCCCTCAGCCCTGGCAAGGTTAGGCCAGGCCTCTTCCCTGGCACCCCCCCGCCCCCTCCCCGTCTCTCCCGCACCCTCAGGGAGCCTCCCACGTCACTGACTCATTGCTGGCTGGGGCTTGTTCACTACCCTGCGAGCTCTCAGCTTCTGCCGACCGCGTTCTGCCTCCCCAGAGCCCAAAGGGCTGCCATCACCGGCACCCAGCCAGTCTATAGCTCCCCACCCCCACATTCCCGGAGCACGAGCTAAGCTTTGTGGCTGCGGCTGAAGGCGAGGCTTTCCATCGCTGACTCCTGGCTTTCCCATCCTCATTTGCGAGTGCGTTTGCATGTGTGTGTGTGCGCAGACACATGACATGGGAGAGCCACAGGCCAGCAGGCAGTCGCTGGCCAGGTGCAGCTGTGTGCCAATGCAGTGGACGTGTGCAGCTGCCCCGTGGAGGAACCGCTGGAGACTTCTTGCCTGGCAGCATGGGGGCGGGGGAGGTGCCTGGGAGGCGGATGGGGCAACAGCTGCTCTGTCTCAGCTGCTCCCACGGTGCCCATGCACTGACCGTAGGCCTCCGTGCCCACAGCCAGCAAGCCCCTGCTGCTTGCTCACGGGCCGTCAGGTTTGCCATGGGGAAAGTTTGGGTCTGTCCTGGCTGGTCTCTGCCGGCCCTGGCTTCCGGCACTCAGTGACAGACTGTAGCCTTCTCTGCAGCAGTCACAGCCCTGTGGCCCTTAGACCAGGCTTTGCTCTCATCCAGGAGAGGTGATCCCGCCCCCCGCCCCGGCCCCCGGCTGCTCTGAGCCCTTCTGCTCCCTCCTGGCCCTTCCTGGTGCTCTCAGCCTTGCCCGCAGCTCCTGGCAGGGCCATATCCATGGATGGAGCCCCCCTGAGCACCTCAGCTGTCTGGAGCCAGCAGAGGGGAGGACAGTGGGACTTCAGGCTGGCTGGGTGGGGCGCCCCTTCCTGTCTGTTTCCTTCCAGGTCTTTGCCACTGGCTCCTCCTCCTGCTCAGGTCCTACCTCCCCGAGGGACTCAGTGTGTTTTACACAACTGCCCAGACCGCTGCCCCCTTAGGTCCTGACTCCCATCTCCAACGCCCAGCTCCTCTGTTGCATCTCAGCCATCCTCCCCCTACCGGACCCCCAGACCTCATCACCTCCTTGCCACCCGGAACCATTGCGCCTCTGAGAAACCAGCACCCAGCTCTCACCTGTAACCCACTGCTGCCCCCACCCAGCACCTGCCGTGCCGAACAGCGTTATAAGCTGCTGTGGTTGTGGGGTTGCCAGTGGAGCAGTGCTGGGAGGTGGGGCCTTTCAGAGACCTGAGGTCATTAAGAGGGATTACTACCACCTTTCTCGAGGGGCAGTTCTCTCCGGAGTTGCTGTTCTCTGGGGACCAGATCAGGCACCGCGAGGGCGGGCTGTGACAAAGCCAGTCTCTCACTTGTGCTTGCCCTGCTGCTCTCTGCCATGAGCTGAAGCACCACGCGGCCCTCACCAGAAGCAGAGCACGTGCCAGTGCCGTGCCCTTACACTTCCCAGGCAGCTGAATCCGCTGCCTCCCTGGACAAATGACCAGTCTCCAGGATTCTGGGACAGCAGACTAAGCCCTTTCTGTATGGGAACTCAGGTCGGCTTTCTGACAGTCCTCGGAGGTAGACACCATTGCCACTCTGCTTTTACAGAGCGGGAAGCAGGCTCAGAGAGGTTAAGCTCCTTGCCCAAGGTCACAGATGTGGCGGTGACAGCCGGCAGAGCGGGAGTCAGGCCCTGGGCTGTGTCTCCTCCATCTGTGCTCGACCGGGGCTCCACACCACCCCTTACCATAACTGGTCTCTGACCTCATGCATCCCTGGAACTCCACATTTTCTCCATGATCCATTCACGTCCACGTCTCTCTCCAGTCCCTTGAGAAGCCACGCGCACTGACTTCAGTTCCCCCCTTACACATCACTCCGTGTCCTGCCAAAGCCGCCCAGCAGCGCCTCCACCTTGCATCAGCCTAGCCTTCAGTCTCCTCAAGGCTCTGCCCAACCTGCTAAGTCTAGCAGGCGAAAGAGACCCCAGCTGGGCAGGCAGGTGCTCTGTGCACCCCCATTTCTGGCACCACTCAGGCTCCTGGGAAACCCCCCCTCCTAGGCTGAGCTCACTGACCCCTCTCATGGGCTGCACCTCCTCTTGGGCACACCCAAGCCTCTCCCATCTTGAGACAAGACCCCCCCCTCCAACCCGCGTCTGTCACCAGCTCACACTCTCTTGCGTTCCTGAAGGCACCGTCTACACCTGAACTCCACCTCCTTCTCAGGAGTCATCTGCTCCAGCCTGGGCTTCTGTCCCATCATCCTTCAGCCTCTGCTGTCGCCAAGGCCACCAGCACATCCTCGTTGCTGAAGCGGTGACCTCTGCTCAGTTCTCCCCAGCTTTGCTGCCGCTGAGTGCTCCTTCCTGGGAATGCTTTTCCACCAGAAGATACTTGATTTGCTCCCACAAGGCCCACGGCTCCCGCGAGGACGTGCAATGAGGGCTTTGTCTTGGCTCCTCCCTCCCCCTCCAGCTTCCCGCCACAAATCCCCAACCCACACCAATCCCGCAGGTTGTCCCCTCCCAGTGTCTCTGCAGCCTGTTCCTTCCTTTCCCGGTTCATGCTTGCCCCTTACACCCTCTCCCGATCTCTCCCAGCGGTTAAAGCCTCCTGGGTCCTCTGGCAGCTGCCCCAGCCCTGGCTTCTCCAGGGGCTCCCCTGCCTCTGCTGCAGCGAGCTGAGCTCGCCAGGAGTGCGGAGTGAGCCGCTCGGTGGGGAGCAGGAGCCTGGCTAGCCCTCGCGGGACTGCAGAGTGCAGCTGGAAGGCCTTTCCTCTCTGCTGCCGCCTCCCCGACCCCTGCGACCCTGTGTCCAGGTCTGCACCCCAGGCGCTCTTTTGGAGGTCCAGGCTCAGGTCCACTTTGCTTGCTGCTGTGTCCCCAGCGGCGCCTGCGTCTCCCCAGGTGTCCGGTGAACAGCGGGTTCCAATGGTCAGGGGTACCACTGAAGTCTGTGCCCGCATTCCTGGCCTCACTGGGTTTTGCAGGTGCTCTGTGGCATTTCTCGGCTCTGCCTTCTCACTTCACGCCCTGGCTGGCAAGTGGACGTGGATTCCAGGGCAGATTCTTACCAGGCAAGAGCAGGCAGGGACCAGGGCAGAGCAGAGTAGCCTGAGGCAGCCGGCCAGTCCTCGCTGGGGCCCCCTTCTCCTGTGCCCTCCCCTCCTCTCTCACCTGTTTTCTCAAGGCTACGACCCTGACCCCTTGTCTGGGCACTGCTCTTTGACTCCAAGTTCAGGGCTGCCTGGAGGCTCTCCCCCCTCCTCCCCTCCCCCCCACGCCGCCCTCCCTCTCCCCCACAGCTCGCAGCCTTCACTTGCCTGAGCCGCCTCGTGGACGTTCTCTGCCGTCCGACCCGGCTGACCCCTGAGCCCCTGGGCCCTCGGCGGGGACGGATCCCGCGAGCGCCGGGCCGCCCGCAAACTTCGAAGGGCTGTGCGGGGCGCGGGGTCCGGGGTTGCCCCTTCCCAGGCCCCCAGGGCTTGCGGCCAGGGACGTGGAACCGGCCGCTTTGGAGATCTCGGCGACTCTTGGAGCGGGGCTCCCGCCCCTGCGGCAGGGCCAAGCCGCGCAGCCCCCACTCGGCTTCCAGTTGCAGCCCCCGCGGCGGCGGCGGCGGCGGCGGGCGGGGAGGGACCGGCGCGGGCGTGGACGGCGCAGCCTGGGCTGCGGGGACCCAGCCTCCTTCTGCCACCCGGAGCCCTCCTGGGAACGTCGGCTGCGCTTCTCGGTTCCCTCTGGCCCGGGGGGGAGCCGCGTTCCCACCAAGTACCTCCCCTTTCCCGCTCCGCGCCGCGCCGTCCGGCTGCCTGGGCTCCTGTCGGCTTGCGGGGAACTCCTGGCCCGCCCACGCCGTTTGCCCGCACTTTCCCGGAGCCCGCCACCGGTGCAGGAGCGCGGGGCAGCGCGGGGTGGGGGGACCGGTCACTAGGGCTCTGCAGTTGCCCCCGCCTCCGCCTCGGCCTGCGGGGGCTGGAGCTGTGGGGGCAGGGAGATTTTTCCAGGGATGAGGCTCCTTTGCAGCACACCTCCCCCAGCCCCAGTCAGCCTGTGGCAGCCCTGCTCCCTGGAGAGGGGCGTGCAAGTCCTGGTGGGGGTCCTTCCAGCCCGCTAGGGGAGGGATGGGGAGAGCGCCTGGATCCCGCTCCAAGCTGGACTGAGTTCGAGAGGGGCTGCGTGGGAGCGCGAGGGTTCCTCGCTGGCCGTCCGGAAAGGAGGGGGGGGGGCGTTCCGCTGGAAGAGCATCTCCTCCTCCGCCCTGGTTCATTCACCGGCTCCTCCATTCATGAGCCTGCTCAGGGCCCCGGGAAGGGAGGCCCAGGCGGCCTCTATTTGCAGATGAGGGAGTGGAGGCTCAAGGCCCTGCAGCTTCTGGCCCGGGTCTCCTGGGAGCAGGGGTAGAAGCAGGTAGGTCTTACCTACCGACCCCAGCCTCAGCCCAGCCAAGCAGGGATGTGACTTTGTGGAGAACACTTTGGATTGACTGCAGTGTTCTGAGCGGCCAGGCCAAGGCTGGGCACAGCCACAAGCCAGGTGTCAGGACCCGGCTCCCGGAAAGATGACCTTCCTTTATTGAGTTGCTGGGTGCAGTGACACCCCATCCCCTGGTGCTGCGACTCAGAGGGGAGAGGGCCCTGCCCCTGATGCTGCCACACACCCCTGCCAGCCTAGCCCGAGCTCCCCTGAGAGCAAGGAAGGCGGGGCTGCACCCGACTCTGGTGGACCCCTCCCATGAGCAGGGCAAGGGGTGAGAGGTCGGGGCAGAAAATGCCCTGGGGGAGGACACATCTGCTCAGCTGGCCTGGAGGAAGGAGGTCCAGGGACCCCGCAGCAGCGGAAACAGGAGCCCAAGCCTCCAGCCTCCCCCTGCCTGTCAACGGTTCTTTGACCCCTCCCCCAGTTGTTCCCCAGTGCACACGGCTCTTGCCTCTTTGTGTGTCCATTCCTTAGTTTATTCTACCCCATCCCCAGCACCTCTATGGACTATCGATGGTGGGCATCAGGGATACCCTAGCCCTGCTCTGGGGAGAGTGTGGCTGCGGAGGTTGATGGTGGGTGGGGGAGGGATCACCCACCCACAGCTCAGGCCACACACCCCCCACTCCCACCCTGTCCAGCCTTGGGCTTCTTGGAGGAGAGGGTTGGAGGTGGACAGGAGGAAGGACTTGCTCGTGGATCAAGGAGGAGCCACCAGGCCAGAGTTGTAGCCGATGATGATGATGGTGGTGGTGAGGAGGAAGAGGAGGGGAAGCTGATGGGGCGGGGAGCCTACAGGAGAGAGGTGGTGGGGGTGGGGGGAGGGTGGAGTTCAAGGACAGAGAGAAGTTGGAGGAACCGAAGATTCCACGGCTGGCCAGTGTTTCCTCCTTCATGGAGGTCTGGCGTGGCCAGGGGGCTGATGCCATGGCGGGGACGGAGAAACCGTGGACACGCAGCCTGGCGCCACCGCTCAGGCTTGTTTGGTGAGATGGGCTCTCTCCCCTCGGGCTTGCTTCTCCAGCATCCTCAGGCTGCCTCCTGTGTGCCTGCTCACGAGAGGGAGCAGCAGCCAGGGCTGCTCGGAGGGCCTGTGGAGGGGGGGAGCCCTGGGCCTGTGGGAGCCGTCAGGTGTGGTCGGCACGGATCCTGGAAGTGGGGGACGGGTCCCAGCTCGTCGTCTGCACTGAGGCCGCACGGAGCAGGTGCCCACAGCGGCCGCACCTGGGGGTGCAGGCCGTGGAGAGGAGCACTGCTTTCTGCAGCCACCCACGCCTTACACCTTGAGTAGAAGGGGCATTGCAGTGGCTCTCCAGGGAAAGCCCAGTTTCAACAAATTGAAGGCACCACCATGTATTGAGTACCTACTGTGTGCCCCTGTCCAGGGCTAGGGGCTAGAAAACGGGTAGGGAGAGAGGGCCCCTGAGGCAGGGAAAGAGACAGAGCATGGACTCTGGGCAAATCCTGGGTACTCACCCCTCTGGGGAAAAACAAAATGTAAGAAAACACAATTTGGGGTGCCCTGGCTCCTACGATAAGGGTGTGGGGGCCGGGGAATTATTAACCAGCTCCAGCCCTTCCCACTTGCAGACTGAGAAGGGGGATCCAGCTATGCAGCCCTCCCCGTGCTCGTGAGCAGAGTGGGGAGCCAATGACTGACCCTCCCGAGCTCGTGGACAGGGTTGGGGGGCTGGCCCAGCCGTGACCCCTACTGCATGCCCTGGGTGAGGGGCCAGTACGGCACAGATAAGGGCGCAGGGAGAAAAAACATAAAGGAGGGGCCAGCACTGTGGCGTAGCAGGTAAAGCCGCTGCCTGCACTGCTGACATCCCATATGGGTGCCGGTTTGACTCCTCGCTGCTCCACTTCTGATCCAGCTCTCTGCTATGGCCTGGGAAAGCAGTAGAAGATGGCCCGGGTCCCTGGGCCCCTGTAACCGTGTGGGAGACCTGGAGGAAGCTTCTGGTTCCTGGCTTCAGATCTGTGCAGCTCCAGCATTTGCTGCCAATTGGGGAGTGAACCAGCAGATGGAAGACCTCCCTCTCTCTCTCTGCCTTTCCTTCTCTCTCTGTGTATCTGTGACTTTCAAATAAATAAATAAATCTTTAAAACAAAACAAACAAAAACAAAAAGGAGACCAGTCCCAAGGGGACTCCCATCGCTAGGGCCCCTCCCCCGTGTCCCACTTCTAAATCAACTCTCTTTTGCTCTTGCACCGTTTCGGACTTTTCTCTTTATTGCTGTACAGGGCAAGTCTGCAGACCAGGGAAAGCTGCTCTCCCATGGCCCCTGTGCACCAGGGGCCACATCCAGCAGGTTTAAGGCGGCAGCTTGCTTGGAGGGTGTCAAGGGAGAGGGAGAGCAGGCTGGGGGCACCAGGCAGGGGAAGGCAGCGTGTGGTTAGGGGCTTCCTTGAAGTGGGTCTTCCCAAGGGGGCAGTTCTGATGGGTGGAAGGGAGCAGGGGGGCCTGAGGACCAGGACCACCAGGATTGTGGTTCCTTGTTGGGGAGTAGCGGGAGGCCGGGCAGGAGAGGCTCAGCTCAGAGAGCTCGGCTCGGCTCGGCTCAGAGAGCGCCTCTCCGGCCAGGTCCGAGGGCTCCCTGGGTGCCTGTCACAGCAGTGCTGGTTTGTTTGTGTCTGTCCCTCTGTGGGGAGCCCCTCGAAGGGTGTCCCCATCTGACCCACTGCCGCCCAGGGCCTGGCCCTTAGGACTTGCCCCTGTCCAAGGTGTCTGTTCCCACCCAGCTGGTGAGCTTCAGAGACCCAGTGCCAGGTGGCAGGGTGAGGGACACGGGCAGGACCCCTGTCGGTGGTGGCTATGGGCTGTGGGCTGTGGGCTGCTTCTGAGGCCAGGCTGAAGTGAGGAACTGGGCACCAAGTTCCAGAGAAACAAGTTCAGTTACTCCAAAGAGGAGTGGAGGTGGGCTGCAGCTCAGTAAGCAAGGCCTGGGGGGCTGCCTGGAAGAGGGAGCCCTGCAGGGGTCTTTGATCCCCTTGGTGCCTGCCCCATGCCCCGTCCCATGCCCGTGGGATCCCTTCCCAAGAGCCCGGAGGGGAGAATGCAGGCTGGGCGTCTCCGGGGCCTGGGTCACCTCTGACTTGGCTCTTCTGACTGAGAGCTGGTGCGTACTGAGCTGGGGGAAGCAGGCAGGCAGGCAGGCAGGCAGGCAGGCAGGGAGCCAGGGCAGGGCAGGCGTGCCTCAGCCCTCCTCGGGGCCCCGGCCCCCTGGCTTCAGCTTCTCCAGAGTCCTGCTCACGCTGGACAGGCTGCTGCGGACTCCTAGGGGGAGAGCGGGACAAGAGCTGCTGAGGAGACAGGCTCTGTGCGGCTGGCGGTCCGAGGAGCCGGAGGGCCCGGGGTGGGCGTGCCTGGTGATGCATGCGGGAGGGGCAGTCCCAGGGGCCAGTTCCTGCCCAGCTGGAAGAGGCCCGCATGGTGAGGACAGCTCACCGCGCGGCGTGGGGGAGGCAGGACTCTGGAAGTGACCGCCTGGTTTGAGTTTGCCCCCCCCCCCCCCCGCTTCCAGGCCGTGCCTCAGTTACCCTTGTATACAATGACGCTGGCTGTGGGGCCTCTTTCATAAGGGAGTTGCTGTAGGGACAGGGTCTGGAGTGGTTCCTTTCACTGGGTGCTGGGGCTGGGGGCTGGGTCTCCCTCCGCTGGGAGCTGGAGCCGCCTTTGGGTCACTCCAGCCCTGGAATTTTCCAGTGTGTCGGGGACCGGGGACAGGGGACAAGAAGACACCCAGGTTCAGGTGTCAGCTCTGAGTCGGATTCCACGGGGGAGGGGAGGGGCCCTGAGGACCAGCAAGAGCAGGTGGGGTCTGCGTGCCCCGAGGAAGAGCTGCCCCGCGCTGCTGCCCGCCTGTGCCGGGGACGCCTGCTCAGAGCCTCTCCCTGGGCCCTGCACAGCTGCTTGGTTGCACGAGAAGATGGGAGACCGATTCTGGAACCTCTGGAACTTACCTTCCTTATTGCCATTGGTGCTGGGTCTTGCCTCTCCCTGGTCTGGCCCCGAATTGGGGTGGATTCTCAGGTTCCCTGTAGGAAGAGACCACCCCAGGCCCCCTGGTTACTGAGTGGTTCCCACATCAAGCCCAGTTGGGAAGGGAGGTCCTTTCTGCTGTCTACCCTGTATCCCTACTGCTGTCTCTGCTCCACTGCTTTCCTTTAGGTCACTGCCTTGGGCTTGGCAGAAGAAATGAAGGCTTGAAGGAGAGGATGGCAGATGCTTTTAGGGAGGTGGGGGCCCTGGGGGAGAATGGGGCTGTGTAAATCCACGCAGGATTGGTGGGGTTGGGTGTCCGTCTGGGGCAGCTGAGATGAGGTGTGGAGCTCTACAGGGGTCCTGGGGCCAGGAGAGACAGGAGATCCTCATGGGGGCTCAGGGATGGGGGCGGTATCCAGAGACCTTGGTGGCTTTGGGGGAGGCAGACCCCTAAGTCCTCCCAGCCAGTTCAAGCCCCTTTGCAGCGGGCAGCCGGCTGGAGCTGCTGCGCGGTAGTCATGGCAACGCCTGTACAAAACACATGGCAGCTCCAGCACACACAGCTAGGAGCGGTCTCCCACGTGGGCTGGCTCGCAGGCCCTCACACAGCAGGCCTCCCTCAGCCTGGGCAAAGGGGTCTGCTGGGGGGAGGGTGGGGAGAGGACTCACCCATCGCAGGCAGGATGTGGTCCAGGTTGAGCCGAGCCTTCAGGAAGGGGTAGGCCAAGAGGAGGAGCCCTGGGGAGAGACACAGAGGGGTCTCTGCTGGCGAGGGCGCCTGCTAGTGTGAGGCGCAGGAGCCCCGGGGTGGCTTGTGAGGGTGACCCATGTGTGCCCGGGGTGGGGGGAGGGTGCTCAGGTGTGCAGGATCGGGAGGGGCTGTGGACTGAGGAGGCCCAGGACCTTCTCTCCACCCTATCCGGGGCCTCCAGGTTGGCTTCCTGCCTTCTGCTGCCTGGACATGGGGCCAGCTGACACCGTGGCTGCCATCTCTCCCTGGCACACGCTGCCCAGACCTGGGGAGGGGGAGGCAGCAGAGCTGGCCCTGCCCTGCCCCACCCCATCCCGCTTCCTCCCAGGCTGAGTGCTTGTGCTGGAACTCAGAGCTCTGCATATGCCCACCCCGGCCTGGTGCGCCAGGTTCTGTTTTAGTTCTGGGGTGCAGGGATGGGGTGGGCATGGCCCTCAGCACACTGCAGGGACTTCAGTGGGCCTGCCAGACAGACAGACGGACAGAACTGCTGCTGGGACACCCAGAGAAGGGACAGGAAACGCGCTCTGTGTGGGCTGGAGCCTGTCGTGCATGCCCAGGGTCCTTGGGAACTGTGTCCTCCTTCCCCTGGCCCGCATTCACCTGCCCCAGACAGGCTGTGAATCCCTCCATGCGCCCAAGAGATGGGGGCTCCGGGCTGGAGCCTCCCGAGCAGAGGGTGACCATCAGCTCCCCTGCCAGTCCCTCGCCCCAGCAGGAGCTCAGGCGGGCTGCCCCGCTCACACCCCTGGCTTCCATTCCCCCAACCCCGTTCCTGCTGACCCAGCCCTCCCCTCCATTTCCTGTCCACCTGCTCCCCTGGGGAATCTGCCCCCACCCAAGCCCAGCCCAGCACCTGCTCACCCAGCCCAGCAGCACCGATAAAGACGCCACCCATGGCAGCTGCGGCCTTGGACACAGACACGCCGATGATGATGCTGCCGGCCACCAGGCTGAGGGCCACGCAGGCCAGCTGCAGGCAGCGGAAGTCTCTGTCCATGCAGGCCTACCCCAGGTGCGGCCCCAGCCCGCGGCGCTTGTCCTCTGGAGGGCCCTGGAGGTTTCTGTCCTCTCGATGTCCCCTTGCTGGAGCTCCAGGTAACCCTTGGGTTGATCCGTCACCCTGTGCCACAGTTCTTCTGGCCCCCCCCAGCCCCACCTTGACCTGGGGTGTCTACCAGGGTGCTCCTAGAGGCCACCAAAGCTGGTGGCCGCCCTCGGGACTCCTGCTCGGCCACATTTCTGCCTGGGCTGACAGCGTTCCAAGGAGCTGGGCCTGACCCAAGGGTCGCTGCCCTCTGCCAGCCTCCACCGCTGGGAGAGCACCCCAAAGCTTGGCTTCCCTGGGACACCTGCCCCAGCCTCACCTATTAAAGTTTAAAGGCTCAGGGGGCGGGGCGCGGGGAGCTGGCCCCCAGGCACGCAGCGGGGAGCTGCTGAGTTATTCATGAGCTTGCAATGCGAGCGGCTGCCTGGCTCCCAGAGGCTCAGCCCTTGGTCCACGGTCCAGAGTTGGCTCCCCAGGGGCCTCACCTGGGATTCAGGGGTGTGAGGAGACCCCCCTTCATCACAGAGTCAGGGTCTGCTGTCCTCACCCTTGGCCTGGGGGAGCCTTTGCTGGGGTCTGAGACGGAGGCACGGGAGGAGACCCGGACAGGCTCGCGAGGCAGGAGCTGTGAGTGGGACAGGAGAGGGAGGCGGAAGTCGCCCCGAGTGCACCCTCTACCCCTGCCCCGAACCTCCAGCGTTCTGGCAACCTCTGGGCTCGCCAGCAGCGCTGAGGGGTCCAGGTCTGCAGGCTGCTCTCTGGTGCCCCCTTCTCCTCCAGTAGCTTGCTACTCACCTCCCTCTTCATGGCTGGCAGAGTCAGGGTGCACCCCCAGCTGCCCTGGGAGCCCTGGCTGGGGGCTGATGGGAAAGCGCTGTGGGGGTGGTGGGCATGGCAGGGCCGGGTCTGGAGGCAGGGGCTGGAGGTGAGCTTGGGTGGGGTTGGGTCTGGAGGCACAGGCAGGAGGGGGCAGGAGGCCTCCTAGACTGAGCACCTCTTTTCAGCCTGGCTGACCATCTCCTCCCAGCATTCGCCAAGCAGAGGCAGGGCAGCGGTGACTCAGCCCAGCCCAAGCTGTGGCCTTGGCCCCAGCCTTCAACGTGAATTTCCTGGTCTTTGATGGATCAGAGCCTGCCCAATCCCTCAATATGGCCCTGGCCATGGCCCTTACCTGGGGCCCTACCACCCTGCTCGGATCCCCCGCCCCCTGCACCTGCAGTTACCTAGCCAGGCTCGAGGGCTCCTACTTCCACCTGCTCCCTGGCCCTGCTGTATGGAGAGCAACTCCTCATCCCCAGGACCTGTGCAGGGCCGACTCTGAATCCCTCCTGACTGCGGCTCCCACGCCCCACCTGCAGTGCCATCTTCCTGTCCGCTCCCACAGACTGCCAACTCTCAAGGGCAGACTCAGGGAGCGCGCTCAGAACGCCGTGCATCAACCACCTGGGGGGGCCCAGCGGGGCTGTGGGTGTGAGTCTCCTAGGGTGTGGAGTGGGGGCCTGAGAAGGCCTCAGGGTCATCGGAGCAGTCTCAGCTGGGGGAAGGCAGTGCCAGGCAGTCAGAGAGGAGGGGTGGTGGCAGAACAGAGAGGCCCTCGCCATGTTCTTTGCCTCCAGGAAAAGGAGGCTTCTGCGGGGAGTCGACCTTTGGTCTGCAGGGTGGGACACTGGCATCTCGTGTGGGCGTGTGTGGGTTCGAGTCCTGCCTCTGGCTGCTCACTTCAGCTTCTTGCTAATGTGCACCCGGGGAGGCAGCAGGTGCTGGCTTGAGTGGTTGGGTCCCTGCAGTGTCCTACATGGGAGACCTGGATTGAGTTCCTAGTTCTTGGCTTGGGCCTTGGCCATTACGAGCACCTGGGGAATTCTCTGTCTCTCAAACAAACAAATAAGGAGGAGGAGGAGGAGGAGGAGGAGGAGAAAGAGGAGGAGGAGGAGGAGGAGGAGCCGCCTCTGGAGCTAGGTATTCCCCAGCCACAGCTGTTGTCACCAACGCCTCCTGTGTCTCCTGCCAGGATGAGGTCTGATTATTCCTCTAATTAGACATCAAATGACAGCCCATGTTCCTGCCACGCATAACAGATCCCCCGCTGACTAGTTTAAGAAGGAATCATCAAAATAATTGTCCATGAAAACGTGCACCTGACAGGTTGTGCTTTGGGAATCTGAAGCCCTCCCCTCCCCTGCTCATGTCTGCTGTCCCCCACCCTGGACCAGGCAGGGCCTGTGCTGGCTGAGGGTGGCCGGACCGTGCTACCAGCAAGACATGAGCTGCTGGGCCAGGCTCCCATGGCCCCTCCTGAGCTCCCTGACCCCATTTCCCTCGCCTGGGAATGGGGCTGGCAGAGGCTGGAGTCAGCCCCACCAGCCACACCCAAGCACGGGGGTGGGGGGCAGAGTGTCAGATGCAGGGTTGGGGGGAACACGCTGACCTCCAAACGCTGGAGACTGGCTCTGAGCTGGCGTTCTTTGACACTGGAGGTCCCTCGGGGCACAGAAGGAGCGGGAGGAGGAAGTGTGGAGGAGAGCTGCGGGGAGTCAGCGACAAGATCCCAGGGCCCTCCCCGCTCCGATCTGAGATGCTGGGAGGCAGAGGACCACCCAGAGGCCTCCACAGAACCTGCGCACCCACGTTCCCACCCGGCCTCTACCCGTCTTCGCTCCAGGGTTTCCAGGTTGTCTTCTTTGAGGTGCAAGGAATTGGCAACCCCACTACAGAGGGAGGCTTTGTCTTTCAAAGACTCAACCGGGACCTGCCTCTTCCATGGCCCGCTGTGATGCCTGGCTGCTCCGCCGGCCGCAGATGTGCACCGTGAGCCTTGTAGCTCCTTCCCCAGGGCTCGCCCGTCCAGAGAGCAAGACCTGTTTGTCCGTGGGCCATGTGGGGGGAGGGAACAGGCAAATGAGTTCAAGGAGCCTGTGTCGTGTCGGGGCGACGCTGTCCACCAGGCTCCCCACCACCCAGCAGCGGCAGTACCGCCCTCCTTGGAGGAGTCAGGTGTGGCTGGGCGGCGGGCACGGTGCTGAGGTCCACCACAAAATCTCTTCTTCGTCTCCTGTGAAGCAAGGGCTGGGAGTGTGTCTGCCTTGCACCAACGCCAAGTGTGGTGTGGGGGTGGGGAAGCAGAGTGGGCGAAAAGGCCCCAGCTTGGTTTGGTTGTTTATTTTCCTTGAGGGGTGAGAACCCTGGAAAAGAGAGTGATTAATTCCCTGATCCCTTGGGGGACGGGCAGCTTTCTTGGACCGTTCCGAAGCTGAAGTCAGAGAAGCGGCTTCCAAGGCAACTGCTACCATGGCAACGAGCGCGCCAGCCTTGGGGGGGTACCTTGCTCCTCGGCCCCCTCCAGACCTGAAGCAGCTGGAGTGGTTGGCATGGGACCAAGGCACCACGGTTCATGGAGCTGGTGAGGGACAGCAGGCAAGGAGGGAGGAGGGAGCTCAGGCAGGTGGACCTGACCAGGGAGGGACCAAAACTTGATGACCCCCGTGCCCAGAAAGCCACAGACAGGACTTCTCAGGGTGTGATCAAATAGGACCTGGGGCGGGGCCAAGCTCTGCCAACTGGAGTTGAGGGAAGAGGCCTGAGGTGTGGCGGGCTCCAGCGGGCTGGGACCAGCTCTATCCCCTAAGGCCCAGCCAGTATGAGTCCGAGAGCTGGGCACTGGCTTCCACCACTGCAAGTCCTGTGCCCGAATGGGCTCTGCGATCCGGGGCCTTGCTCAGCCTCTGCTGTATCTGTCTCTGTGGAGCAGCACCCTCCCAGGGTCATTTGGCGAATGGTGGCAGAGGCAGGACTAGGACGGGACCCTTGTCCCCGCCCCAGGCCCTACCCCAGCCACCCCACGTGAACAGGGGCTCCAGCCCAGAGAGGCATCCACAGAGGTCCCTCACCATCGCCCCACAGCCTTCGGGGAAGAGCTCTGGCAGCCGAAGAAAGGGGAGCTCCTTTGCAGCCCTGGGGCTGTGAGTTGAAGAACTGTGCGGCAAGGAGAAGGAACGCGCTGACTCCGTGTGCCCAAAGTGCTCTGAACACTTGGCCAGACCGCAGCTGTCGCAACAGCACCACAGCTGGGCACGATCATCCCCACAGACTGAGACTGGACAGACTGAGACTCAGAGGCGAACTTGCCCAAGGCTTACAGCCGGCAAGCGGCAGAGCTGGGATCTGAGCCCAGGTGGTGCGGCTCTGGGTCCTGGGTCCCAAGCCTCTTTGGACAGAACTCCAGTTCCCCCATTCCTAGGTGCCCTGGGCAAGGTATTCTTCCCTTCGCTGCTTCATTCCGCATGTTCAGTGGGCAGACCTAACACTACCTACCGCGTAGGTACTCCCAGGACTGCTGTGAGAATTAAATTAGCTGTCTGTGAACTACTTAGTGGCCACCCAAGGCTGGCACAACCAAATTGGGCAGAGTAGCCTCCGAGCAGAGCCGTGGAGGATGGGAGGGGCTTTGTCGGGGGCACTCGAGTTGGGGGTGGGAGGGCCCAGCTTGAGCAAAGGCGCAGAGGCAGGACAGGGCGGGGACGCAGAGTGCTGGCTGAGGAAGCCTCTGGAATCATGGTCCTGCTGGGCAGGCGGGGAGGAGACGGGAGCCCGGGGACAGAACTCATCTCCTGGCTGCGCCTGTTTCTCCAGGCGGCCTCCCTGCAGGCAAGTGCAGAAGGGAAGGTCACAGCAGAGGGAAGCCCATCACCAAAGGCAGGGCGTCACCACCGCGCAGGCCCCCAGTGCAGGCCCGGCCCCGCAGAGAACCCCTTGCCCCGCACCCCGTCTGCCCCTGTGGGGACATACAGAGGTCACTGCCACTCCAGCCCTCTCCAGGGGCCCCAGGGTTGTCCAGAAAGACCTCCCATGATGTCCAAGGGCTGTGCAGGGCAGGTCCCACTTTTTCTTTCTCTTTAAAAAGATTTATTTATTTGAAAGGCACAGCTATGGGGTGCGTGGGTGGGGGGAGGCAGAGAGAGAGAGAGAGAGGGAGAGGCAGAGGCAGAGAAGTCTTCCATCCACTAGTTCACTCCCCAAATAGTTACAATGGCCAGGACTGGGCCAGGCTGAAGCCAGGAGCCAGGAGCTTCATCTGGGTCTCCCATGTGGGTGCAGAGGCCCAAGGACTTGGACCATCCTCTGTTGCTTCCCCAGGCGTATTAGCAGGGAGCTGGATCAGAAGCCGAGCAGCTGGGACTTGAACCGGTGCCCATATGGGATGCCAGCGCTGCAGGCTGTGGCTTAACCAGCTGTGCTAGAGTGCTGGCTCTGGCACCATTGTTCTTGTTGTTGCCAAATCTGGCAAGACAAGTGCAGTCGCAGGCACTGGAGAGGTCCTCGGCAGAGGCGTGGTGGTGCCACAGGCAGAGGGGAATGTGCTCCTGTGTGGGGCCCTCTATCAAAGCCCTTTGTGAAGTGAGCTGGCGTGAGGGCTGCGCTGAGCCGCTTCCAACTCCGCTCTAGGTCCTGGCAGGGAAGAAGCGATCAGTAAGCGTTTGGTGAATTTCATTTCCTCACCGAAAGAAGAAAGGTGGCCTTCTCCTTGGGGTCCCGACAAGGTGCACGGCCCCCCGCCCCCCAGCCTGGCTGGACTCGGCCCAGCCCCGAGGCCTGGCTCCTCCTCAGGTTTGCAGGTACGGAGACGGACCATCGAAGATGCCACAGCCAGAATTTAAAACATTTTATTACAACAAGCACAATGAACAATATAGCATCACGGTGTCGTAAACGAGCGACATACGCAGGTCTGTTTGCTTTATGCAACTCGGCAGCTCGGGCTACGAGGCAAGGGCTGCACCTTCCCTCTCTGGAGGGACCAGGGCAGAGCTGGGGCCGCCCCTCCGCCGCCCTCCCTACCGGACCTGAGGGCAGGGCAGCAGCTCGTCAGAGTAACAGCTTAAAACCAGTGGTCTAAAAGGGAACAGCTCATTAAAACCTCGACGCACGGCGCTCCGGAGGGCAGCGGCTGCTGGAGCTCCCGGAGCCCATGGCGTGCGGGGAGTGGGAGCTTACATCCCACCTCTGCTGGCAGAGTGTGGTTAAAACGTTAAAAAACACGACGAAATAATACTGACTGTAGCAGCAATCCCAAACAAGGAAGAGGATGATAAATGAGGGCCACATCTCGGTCACGGCAGAGAGAGTCTGTGTTTCTCTGTGCTGCGGCCCGGAAGACCGAGCCAGCTGCCCGGATGAGGAAGGCTCTCTCCGCTCTTCCTTGAATTGAGGGCACGGCTTTGCTGGAGCGACGGGGAGGACGGGCGGAGGACAGATGAAGGTGGATGAGCGGCCAGGGGAGGGGAGGGCCGTGTGGGCACCTCTGTCTGCCGCCTCTGAGCAGGCTCCCCGAAGGCCCCAGCCCCAGCAGCCCAGGAAGCCACCAGGGCCTGCCGGATCCGATCCGCAGGCCATCTGCAGGCTGTGAGCAGGTGGGGCCCAGCCGCAGGCCCTTATGCAAAGTGATGAGTGATTGCTTTCCTTTTCAAAGACAGCCCCTTCAGAGAAAGCTTTTTCCTGCAGGACTCTGGGGAGGTGGAGGGTCGAGTGGGACCCTCAGGGCCTTTGTGGACCAGAAGCCCTGACAGTCTGCAGCAGGTCCCCATGCCTGCTCAGGGACGTTCCAGCAGGGCCACGCCCGGGCAGGCTGAGGTCCTCCCAGGCGTTGCGGGGTCGCTCAGAGAGCTGTGGGTGGTGGGCAGGGGTCCGTGGCGCCACAGCGGCCTGCCTGGGTCAGGGCCCGTCGGCGGGCCAGGCGTGACTTGGACGGAGGGGACAGCTTCACAGAGCAGAGGCGCTCGGCCAGGGCCTCTGGCTCCCCGGCCTGCTGGCTCTCCTCGTGCTGGGACAGCTGGCGGTTAAGGGCGATGGCCTCCGCCGCGAAGAGCGTCAGGTCCATGGTGCTGCTGTTCCTGCAAGGGCCGGGGAAAGGTACAGAGAGGGAGGCAGGCCCTGGGGTCAGCCGGCTGCTGCCGCGCCACGCTCCCACCAGTTTCCCGAGCCGGCGCGAGCTGCCTTTCTGAAGCAGTTCTTGCCTGGGTTTGAATCTTGTCTGAGACGCGAAGGGGCTCTGAGCTCCAAGGTCAGCTTTGCACTGGGCACTGGGGGCAAACAGCCCCTTCCCCTCTGCGCTCCCACTACGCTGCTGTGGCAGACGCAGGGCCGCAGCCTGCGAGGCCGGCCAGCTTACCCCCCTCCTTGTCAGGGCAGGGGCTCCCGGGGCAGGGGCTGTGCTGTTTCTGCCCGGGCCCCAGAAGCTGCTCAGGGCTGGCAGGTGATGGGCACGGTGGGTCCTGCCAGGTCAGTCTTCTAAAGCGGGCCTGAGGCTTGGTGCTGAAGGCGGCTCCAGAGAGTCAGCCGGGAGCTCAGCGGGCAGTAGGCTTCCTTGTGGCCCTCCTAAAAGCTGGCCACAAGGCCTGCTCTTGAAAGGGTTGCCCACAATGCCTGCTGTAGCCTTTTGGGCACAGGGCGGTGCTCACTGGGGATCTCATCTAATTGTTTAAAGACTGTGGAGTCAGGGCCAGTGTTGTGGTGCAGTGGCTCAGCTGCTGCGGTTGGTGACACCAGAATCCCATGTTGGAGCCCCAGTTCCAGTCCCGGCTGCTCCACTTCCAATCCAGCTCCCTGCTAGCGCGCCTGGGAAAGCAGCAGAAGATGGCCCACGTGCTTGGGCCCCTGCCACCCACATGGGAGGCCTGGATAAAACTCTTGGCTCCTGACTTCAGCCTGGCCCAGACTTGGCTGTTGCGGCCATTTGGGGAGTGAGCAGTGGACAGAGGACCTATTCTTGTCTGAGGCTCAGCCTTTCAAATCAATCAACCAGTCAACAAATCAACTGATCTTTTAGAAAAAGAGAGAGAGAGAAAAAAAGACCAGAGTCACAGAGTTGGCCCTGAGCTTGTTAATTCGATCCCTCAGTTTTCTCATCTGCAAACGGGGATGCTAGGAACGCTGCTCTCCCGCTTTACTGTGAGATCATGGATGTGACAGATGCAAAGCCCTCAGCACCATGTGTGATGTGCGCTAGGATTTGCCATGTGGCGGCCACTGTTATTATTTCTTGTCTAGTGGTGTGCATGACAACTGGCCGGGCCCCTGCCTTCCAGTGGCTCCTGAGTCCGGTGACTTTTGCCACCGCGAGAGCAGTAGGCTGAGCGCTGTGAAGAGCCCACGGGGGAGGCCTGTCTCCTACTTTGCAGGTAGGGTTCCAGCGGGGCTGCCAGCAGCATGGGGAGCCACAGCGCTGGAGGGCAGCGGAGGAGGAGAGCGAGACAGATCTACAGTGGAGGGAAAGGAGGGGGAGGCCAGGAGGTGGCGAGAAGGGAGGCCAGGGAGCCCCTTCAGAGAAGGGTACCTGGGCCTGGAGGTGGGCTCCCGGTCCCCACCGCCACCATCAGACGGCTGAGAGCTTGAGGGGGGGAGGGTGGTGGAAGTGGTGGGGCATTTACCTCTGGAGGACTTGCGGCGTGGGGAGTCCCCTTTCTGGAGCTTGCTAGAACGGGAAGGACAGATGTGTGGGTAAGGGCTGCTGCCTCATTCCAAGAGCTGCCCTCACCCAAGCCAGCACAGAGAGGGTGGGTCACTGCAGGCTCTGGGCCCAGCACAGCCGCTGTGCTGTGCTTGCCTGCAGGGTCACACCTTCCTGGGAGGCAGCCAGGAGGCTGCAGCCTGAAGTCAGCCCCTCGCACAGCCGCCGCCGCCTGGACAGCCCCTACCCCTCAGCCTGGACGTCTCAGCGCCTTCCAAGACAGCTCAAAGTGCTCCTCCCACTTCCCTGCCACTGTGCACCCCAGCCCCGAGCAGAGGGCGGTCTTTGTCCCTTTGTGCCCCCAGTACTTTGACAAGTACTTATCGCACCGCCCACCTCTCTCCATGGGGTCCTGCTCGTCCCTGAGCTGCCAGCCTCTAGCATGTGGTTGGTGCTTACTCTTGGCGGACTGGGAATTAGGCAGCCAGGGACTCTCAGGTCGCGTCCCTATCTGTAACTCGGGCCAGCAACACCAGCCTCCTTCCTCCGGTGGGGCCACCAAGTCCGGCTAGGGCCTGGCAGATGGTGGAGCCACAGTAAACCACAGGAGGGCCTGGCAGGCCCTGCGGAGGGGCAGAGGCCAGCCATGGCAGTCAGCCAAGGAGGCTTTCAAACGACATTTTCAAGTGAAGACTTAGTTCCTGGGCGGAGTGAGGTCACCACTTGCCTTGTAGCCAGCCGCATCCAGGCCTCTAGCTGCGAAGAGGACCCCCTGCAGCCCACAGGAGGACAGCAAGGCCTTGTTTGCTGCTGGGGACTCTTAGCTCCTGATGTTTATGTCTAAGGGTATGGTGCTATAGGCCTCAAAACATGATGCCAGGCTGCTTCCTGGGAGGAGGGCAGTGGGTGGCCAAGGTTATAGCCAAGTGCATGTATGGCCTGTCAGAAGGCTCAGATGGGGCTGAGGGAGGAGTCAACTCATTCTACACGCAGAGGGACTGAAGCTCTGGCCCACTTCCCCACCACTGAGGGCAACCAGTCGGGCCGGCGCTCAGCACTCACTGGCCTGACAGCTTTCTTGGGGCTGTGCCACAGGCCTGGAGAGGTGGCGCCATCACCCCGCTCTGGAGCCACTCACCCCCTGCACCCACGGGTGCTGCAGAACTTGGGCAGCGCTGAGTCTCTGCTTGGCGTCCCGCACCAGGAGCTTAGAGATGAGGTCTTTGGCTTCGCTGGAGATGTGTGCCCAGTCCTTGTCGGGAAACTCATACTTGCCCTCCTGGATGCTCTCAAACAGCTTGTTCTAGGGAAAGAGGATTCTTCCTGATGCCACGCGGGCCAGGTGACAGGCAGCATGTGGCACCCCAGATCTACCGCCCCGGCCCCCGCTGGCACCAGCTGCAGCTCCTGGCTTGGGAATGCCACATACGGGGGCCCCTTCTCCGACCTCCCACTCTTCCCACTATCATCAAACTGTATGGAATGCCCAGGTGGCAGTGCTGCTGGGAGGGCTGGCCAGGCGGGGCACGGCGGGAGGTCACCTACAGACCAAAGCCTGATTCCTTGGCCCTTCACGAAGCGCCCTTGCGGATCTGGCTCCTGGGAACCCCTCAGGCCGTCTCCCACCACCATCCCCCTTGGGCAGCTCCGCTCTGCCTCCCTGGACATGCGCAGCTGCAGGCCTCTGCTGTGCTGTTCCTCCTGCCTGTGTCTCTCGCCCTCCCTTCCCTGGGAAAGACTCATCCTGTCAGGCACTATCTTCTCTGACAACCACGCCCTGAACTGGCTGGGCCGAGTGGCTTTCGGTCTGTCTTACAGAAGACGGAGGGCACTAGAAACCCTCTGCCGATTGGGGAATGGTCTCCAGCCCAGTCCTGCTTGGCAGCCCATGGCTCGCGGAGCCCGTGAGCTTACCTGGCACACCCGGCACACCTCTCCCCGGTCCCAGCCGCAGTCGGCCCCGCAGTGGCCCACGAAGGGCGGGTAGCCACTGAGCATGATGTAGAGGACCACGCCCAGGCTCCACAGGTCACAGCGCTTGTCGTAGAAAGTGGCCTCGTCCCTGAAGACCTCCACCACCTCGGGCGCCATGTATTCTGCAGAGCCGCACTGGAGGGCCGAGTCGGTGGAGGAAGAGATGGCAGAGAACATGGGTTTAGTCGCAGGGGGCGGGGATGGCGAGAGGACACAGGGACGGGGAGGAGGACATCAGGGAGGCCACAGAGGCCTTGGCCAAGGAGCTCCCGGAATCTCTCGCTGCCTCAGCTCTCTATAAACCTGTACGTACCAGGAACGCAGCTCTGGGAGGGAGATGTGGGAGGCCCAGTCCTGTGCAGCAAGCATTTCTGAAAGTGACTCTGGCCAAGCTCCCCCGCTAGCTCGGAGCAGGAATGCAGACCTCCCAGGCTGGAGGAGCTCTGGGAGTAGCGCTGCTCTGCCTCTCCTGCCTACGGTGGGAAAGCCAAGGCCTGGGAGGGGACAGGGATTGTTGGAGCACATCAGCAGCAGACCCAGGACCAGAATCCAAGAGTCTTCCCTGCCCCCTTGCACAGCAAACTGCTGACAAGAACGAAACACACGGGGCTGGCCTGCGGTGCTGGCATCCAGTATGGGTGCCGGTTTGAGTCCTGGCTGCTCCACTTCCGATCCAGCTCTCTGCTGTGGCCTGGGAAAGCAGTAGAAGATGGCCCAAGTCCCTGAGCCCCTGCACCCTCATGGGAGACCCAAAGAAGCTCCAGCCATTGCAGCCATTTGAGGATGGAAGACCTCTCTCTCTCTCTCTCTCTCTCCCCCTCTCTCTGTAACTGTCTTTCAAATAAATAAAATAAATCAAAAAAAGGGAATAAAACACAGTCCTTTTGTTCCCCCTCTTCATTATTTCAGGCTCCCCAGGAAACAACTCCCTCCTCACAAAACTAATCTGAGTGGAAGACGGTGAGGAAGGGTATTTTCTTTGTTATTGGCAATTAGAGTTAATGACTTTGAGATCAAGGTAGCTCAGTGTACTAGAAACGACTACAGAAACACTTCTAACAACACTGCTTACAGTAAGACATGATATAAGCAAACTTGTATTTAAAGGCATGTCTTTAAAAAAAGGCCATTAGGAATATGCACTCAGGAAGCACGCAAGTCTCCAAAACCTTCCTAATTACAGTGGATCAAGTGTGCACAAGAGATGTCTCGGGAGGAAGGAGCTCCCAGCAGTGCCACCTGTGCTGCAGGTGCAAAGCTGGAGGAGCAACGGGGTAGCTCAGCTAAGCGCTCCTCCGATCCTATGCACTGAGAGCCTGGGACCTCACGGTTCCACTTCCACAGAGGACAACAGCTCCCCACCCGCACCACGAGGTGGGTGCGCCATGGCTTCAGCCGTGGGGATGGGACTCAGAGAGTTAGCCGCGTGAGCCACGAGCTCATGCGCAGAAGGGCTGGCCTGGCTGTCATGTCTGTTTTCACCTGGGCTGGGCAGTGCTCTAACGGCTCTCCTGTTGGCTTCATTAGTGACTACGGAGTGGGGGCAGGTTCGGGAGCCACCAGTACAGGGCAGGGAGCCGAGGGGCAGCAGCAGGAAGTGCTCTCCATATACTCGGTTCTCCTTCCTCGCCCTCTGCACTTGCTGGCTTCCCGTCAGCTAATCCCTATGCATAGGAGCCCAGAAGGAGGTGGCCCGGGGTCCCCATACGTACTGGAGTGGTCAGCTCTGGTGTGGTTATGGGGGTGCAGGAGTTGTTCAGTTTCACCCCACTGCCCAGGTCAAAGTCACAGATTTTCACTGGAGACACCTGGAAAGGGAGAGAGAAACAAAGGCACAAGTTCCGGAAATGAAAGGGAAGCAGACTGACGCGACTGCACAGTGCTCACGTGGTCGTGTGGCTGTCAGACCGCGGCCCAGCTCCACCTGCCAAGTCCTGTCCAGCCCCCTTGGGGTGACTACCAGTTGCATGAGGACGTTTTCCAAGATGTCCTCTTCCCCACACTCTCTGCTTGTTTCCTAATGGAAACATAGGTAACTCTGGCGTTTGACTTTTGAACCTGTGACGACAAATGAGCACAGAACCCTGGTGGCAGGTGATGGCACAGGCTTCCAGAGGAGTTACTGTGTGCTCCTCTGCTGCCCAATCCCTGGAGGGCAAAGGAGCTGGGAGTACAACGTTCAGTCACCCCAGGGAGCTCAGGGGACCAACCCGTCCTGGTTTGCTTGCTTGGGCAAAGCACTGCAATTCTTTTGAGTATATACCCAAAAGTGGAGCAGCTGAATCATTAGGTAATTCTACCTTTAGTCTTTTTTTTAGATTTATTTATTTGAAAGGCAGAATTACAGAGAAGCAGAGGCAGAGAGAGAAAGTTGTTCTATCCACTGGTTCACTCCCCAGATGGCCACAATGGCCAGAGCTATGCCAATTGGAAGCCAGGAGCCAGGAGCTTCTTCTGGGTCTCCCATGTAGATGCAGGGGCCCAAGGACTTGGGCCATCTTCTACTGCTTCCCTAGGCCATAGCAGAGAGCTGGATTGGAAGTGGAGCATCAGGGACTCGAACCAGCACCCATAAAGGAAGCCAGCCCTGCAGGTGGTGGCTTTACCGACTATGCCACAGTGCTGGCCCTACCTTTAGTCTTTTGTCTTTTCCACAGTGGTCACATCATTTATCTTTCCCAACAGAAACATATGGAAGGTCCCATTTCTACACATCCTCACCAACACTTATTTTCCTTTTAAAAAAAATTACAACAATCTTGGGGCGGAGAGGGAGAGGGGGAGGGAGGGAAGGAGGAGGGAGATATCTTACATCCACTGGTTCATGCCCCAAATGCCCACAAAGCTAGGGCTATGCCAGACTGAAACCAAGGAGCCAGGAACTCCATCCATGTCTCCCACATGGCTGGCAGGGATCCAAGGACTTCAGCCCTCATCATGTGCTGTAGCTGCCAGGTTAGGATGCCACCTTCGATGCCAGCATCCATTATGAGCCCTAGTTTGAGTCCTGGCTGGCCCACTTCTTCGTCTTCTTCTTTTTTTAGATTTATTTATTTATTTGAAAGTCACAGAGAGAGGGAGAGACAGAGAGATATCTTCCATTCACTGGTTCACTCCCCAGATGGCTGCAATGGCCAGTGCTGGGGCCAGGCTACAGACAGGAGCCTCTTTCAGGTCTCCCACAAGGGTGGCAGGGGCCCAAGCACTTGGGCCATCTTCCACTGCTTTTCCCAGGCCATTAGTAGGGAGCTGGATCAGAAGTAGAGCAGTTAAGACCTGAACTGGTGCCAATAAGGGATGCTGGCATCGCAAGCAGCAGCTTTACCTGCTATGCTACTACGCCGGTCCCAGGCTGCTCCACTTCTGATCCAGCTCCAGCTTCCTGCTGACGTGCCTGGGACGGCAGTGGAAGACGGTCCAAGTGCTTAGGCCCCTGCCACCCACAGTGGAGTGCTTGGGTTCGGATCTCAGCTCTGCTTCCAGTTCTTGTTTCCTGCTATGGTGCACTCTGAGAGGCAGCAGGTTAGGGGCCAGGTACTTGAGTCCCTGCTACCAAGGAGACCTGGGTAGAGTACCAGGCTCCTGGCTCTGACCTGGCCCAGCCCCAGCAGTTGCAGCCATTTGGGGAGTACACCAGTGGATGGAGGATCTCTCTCTGTCTTCTCTTTCTCTCTACCTCTGCTTTTCAAATAAATAAATTATTTTTTTATTATTTTTAAAATAATTTTTTTATTTGACAGGTAGAGCTATAGACAGTGAGAGAGCAAGACAGAGAGAAAGGTCTTCCTTCTGTTGGTTCACTCCCCAAATGCCGCCACAGCTGGTGCTGCGCTGATCCGAAGCCAGGAGCCAGGTGCTTCTTCCTGGTCTCCCATGTGGGTGCAGGGCCCCAAGCACTTGGGCCATCCTCCACTGCCCTCTCGGGCCACAGCAGAGAGCTGGACTGGAAGAGGAGCAACTGGGACTAGAACCCGGCGCCCATATGGGATGCTGGCACTGCAGGTGGAGGATTAACCAAGTGAGCCACGGCACCGGCCCCAGTATTTTTTAAAATTATAGCAATCTTGTAGGTATGAAGTATCTCATTGTGGTTTTGATTTGTGTTTCCCTCATGACTAAGGATGTTGAGTATCTTTCTTTGTGCTTGTTGGCCATTTGTATATCTTGTTTGGAAAAATATCTATTCAAGTCTCCTCGTCTTTTTAAAAAAACTATTTATTTATTTTTCATTTTATTTGAAAGGCAGAGAGACTGGGAGAGACAGACAAAGAGATCCTTCATTCACTGGTTCACTCCCCAAATGCCTGCAACAGGTGCGACTGGGCCAGGCCAGAGCCAGAAGCCTGGTACTCAATCCGGTCTCCCTAGGCGGCAGGGACCCAAGTACCCGGCCCCTAACCTGCTGCTTCTCAGGCTGCATGAAAGCAGGATACTAGAACAGGAAGCAGAGCTGAGACCCGACCCAAGCACTCCACTGTGGGATGTGGTGTCCCAAGAGGTGCCTCGGCCACTGTGCCAAACATCTGCTCCCTTTGCCTCTTGAAACTGGATCGTTTATCTTCTTGCTGTTGAGTGGTAGGAGTTCTTTATGGGCTGGCGCCGTGGCTCAATAGGCTAATCCTCCGCCTAGCGGCGCCGGCACACAGGGTTCTAGTCCCGGTCGGGGCGCCGGATTCTGTCCCGGTTGCCCCTCTTCCAGGCCAGCTCTCTGCTGTGGCCAGGGAGTGCAGTGGAGGATGGCCCAAGTGCTTGGGCCCTGCACCCCAGGATAAGTACCTGGCTCCTTGCTTCGGATCAGCGCGCCAGCCGCGGCGGCCATTGGAGGATGAACCAACGGCAAAAGGAAGACCTTTCTGTCTCTCTCTCTCTCACTGTCCACTCTGCCTGTCAAAAAAAAAAAAAAAAAAAGAGTTCTTTATGTATTTTGGACATTAAACCCTTGTCGGACATATGACTTGTAAAATACTTTCTTCCATCCTATAGGATGACTTTTCACTTTCTTGATGTCCTCTGAGATTTAAGTCTCTTTTGATTTCAGTTTCTCCCACCATAAAAAGGGGGGCAGCAAACATGCCATGAGAAGCAAAGGCATCATGGGACATGAAAGCACACTGCTAATCAGAGATGGTATTGGGTAGTGCAGAGCACCCGCGTGGTTCTTGGGTCAGACGACCTTAGTTTTATTCCGGGCTTTTTTGCTTAGCCACTGAGCGACTGCACAGGTCCCTCAGCCTCTCTGGGCTTCTGTTTCCTCACCCATAAAATGAGGAGAATAATAGCACCTATCTTGAGATAGTTTATAAATACTAAATAAATACAAGTGTGGGGTGCAATGCAAGCCTCAAGACATGCTAACTGTAATTATGAATAATAATCATGGTAATAATAAATTACAAAGTTTTATGTCAGAACCACTGACAGGAAGTCACAGATTTTACTTGAACTAGGATATTAATATCCCCACAAGACAGTTGTAAGTACCAGGATGGTGTTTGCTCTCACTCACAGCCATTCCTTATTTATACACCAAGACATGTGTGTTTTCACATATGGAGCCATGAACATGAGCCATGAGCGCCAAACTCTGTCCTAACAAACACAGAATTTGTCAAATCCATACACTCCATGGAAATGCAAATGCTCCCCTGTATTAGTAGATTGAGTTGAGGCAACATATAAAATAGGTTGCATGTGTTCAACCCGAGGCATACACGTATTCTTTTTAATGAGCACCGTTGGAAATAAAAATGGAAACAGAAACCCTCAAGAAGTGGGTTCCTAATCATTCCTTGCGGTGGTGGGTGCCATCCGGCGTGTACCTCGTAACAGACACCACTCACAGGCAGACTGAGCTGCTCACGACCCACAACAGCTGCTCCAGAGGTAGGTGCACTGGGCTAGAAGACAGTAATTTTGTAGCCTACAAACTTGTAGTCCTAAGCCAATCACAGAGCAAGGACAAAGAGCAAAGAAGGGACAAGGATGGAGCCTACTCGGGGTGGGGAGACACTGCACAGCAGAATAACATGCTCAGAGGAATCTGTTCAAGCTGGTCCCAGGAGAGGTCCTAGAAATCCACACTGGGATCTGGAAGCTCCCCTCCTCAGAGAAAGTGGAAACATCTCAAGCCTGGTCCTAAGTACCTTTTCTGGAGACTCACACAAAATATTCTCTGGCTTCAGATCGCGGTGGGCGATGCCTGCAATGACAAAGAGCAGAGAAATGGTTAACATGTGCACGTAATTATCAAACATTCCACACACAATTAATTTTTTCCAAATGCTGTTGTTCGCAGATTAATTCCCAATTATGGTACATTAAAAAATCAACGAGCTGCAGGAGGCAGAAGTAACCAGAGATGCAGACCAAAAGCACAGTGGATTCCCCAGTTCTGGTGGAAGCAGAGGCTTTAGCAGTCTGCCAGGGATAAGAAGGGCTAGATGAATCCCAGCCAGCCCACCTTTCAGGACCGCAGCGAGGACGGAGAGTGAGCCAGCCTAATGCAGAGCAGAGCAGAGCAGAGCAGAGGGCGCCGCAAACAGCAATGCTTGGAAAAGCAGTGCAGAAATAATTAGTGCCTTGTTTGAGAGCATCTCTGGGGGCTTGCGCTGCTCTACCTCATTTCTTCTTGTGTAGCTGATTTTATTTTTTTAAAAGATTTATTTTTATTTATTTGCAACAGTTACAGAGAGAGAGGTAGAGGTCTTCCATCTGCTGGTTCACTCTCCAAATGGCTGCAACAGCCGGAGCTGAATCAATCCAAAGCCAGGAGCCAGGAGCTTCTTCCGAGTCTCTCACGTGGTTGCAGGGGCCCAAGGACTTGGGCCATCCTCCGCTGCTTTCCCAGGCCCATTAGCAGGGAGCTGGATCGGAAGTGGAGCAGCCAGGACTTGAACCGACACCCATGTGGAATGCCAGTGCTGCAGGCTGGGGTTTTAACCTGCTGTGCCACAGCGCCAACCCCTTGTAGCTGATTTTAAAAAAGATTCTTCTGGTGCAACTTCCTGAACGTTTAGGGGACTGAGTGTTAGTACATAGATCTCCCAAAGCTTGCCCGATTCCCTTCTCACCTGTCCTGCACGGCCCAGCAGAAGAGCAAGGCCCGAGGGTGCTGTCCCTAAGGGAAGAGCCCCTGCCTTTGGTAGAGGCCTCCCTCAGGAGACGGCAGTCCTCCCATGAGGGTTAAAACCTGGCCAGGAAGGCCCCTGAGGAGAAGCATCTTCTAAGAAAGAAAGGCACGAAGAAGCAACGCTGAGGGGCCTTAGGGGCAGCGGGGTGCTTTCCTCCTTCCTTCCAGGGCACACAGCACAGAGGAGCTGGGAGCCTGAGCGACTGCCTGCAAACGCTGGGAGGCAGCAGGGGTCCTGGAGGCGCTGGGACGAGCACATGTGCTTTACTAACACTTCCCAGGCAGAACGGCGGCCCGGCAAGCTGCGGAACTTCATCAGTCTCCTAATTGAATGAGAACCCAGAGCAACTCAGTCCGGCCTGCACAAATTGAGCCGGGCTACAGCTCGCCGCACTAAAAGTGAAGGATATTTTCCATTACAGCAAGCGCTCCCACAGCAGGCTCACGAGCCACACATGGAGCCTTACTCTCCAAATAGGTGCCCGTGGCCCAGCCGTCCCCCAGCCCGCGCGCTCAGAGAGCCCGGCTGTACTAATGGGCCTGCCTGTGCGAGCACACCGGCCATCGAGCTGCTCCGGTTCATTTCCCAGAGGTCAAGCTGCAGTGCGTCCAGTACTTACAAGTATGGAACTTGTTTCAGGCCTGACCCATTCTTGCCCAATTCATCTTCCCAGCGTGAAGTTATTTAGAAAACAGCCCAGTTCAGCTGAAAATCGTTTTTCATCCCCTCCACCTTGTGGTCACGGGGGCGGCTGGCCAGCTAGATGCTAACAAGCACTTCAGAACTCCTAAGACACCGGTAGCCTCTGTTCCCTTTAGTGCATTCTTGTAAATAAATAAATAATAAAAGCGCCTTTACCCCTCCTTCAAGGTATGGCTCTTGTGAAAAGCATGACCCAGTTCTGCAGTCTGCAGCAGCGGCTCGGGGAGCAGTTGTAAATCTCTGTCAGGCAGGTGTTACTACACGCATCCCAGCTTTCAGAAACACAACTGGCGCTATTCATCACGTGCGCAAAGGACAGACAGCCCCTTCTTGGAGCTCGCGTCCCCGGTGCGAGTCAGGGCCCGCCAGGATGTGCACCTGCTTTGGCCGCTGGTAGGGAAGGGGTGGAGCACAACCTCCCACACACAGGCCCCGCCAGGGTGCACTTGCTGGTGCCAACGGGGATGTGTGAGTGGCGTGCCTGCAACTGGTTCAGAGCTGTGGTGTGGCTTGCCGGGGTCTACAATTGTGAAGAGGGTGGAGCTAAGACACAAGGTGTCTGCTGCACTCCCACCCCTACCAGGCAGAAGACTTGAAGGTTTAAGGGAGTTAACACCAGGAATAAAAATATTTTCTATGTAGGGGATGAGGATGGAGGAAATAACGCTGATTGAAGAAGTAGTATGTGCCAGGAATGATGCTCCACCTATGCTATACCTACACAGCTGTGATGTAAGACACACACAATTATGTAAATAACTAGATACAACACTTGGAGTGCCAATGAGGTGTTAACTACGGTTGTGAGGGAGATCATCTCTCTTAATTCTCACCACAACCTTTAGAGGTAGGCATTATTACCAGGAGGGCACATAACTGGAGAAAGGTGAAGCCAGAATTCAGTTTTTCCCTTGTACTGCATTAAGGCAAGTTAAAAAAAAAAAAAAGTATGTAAAAGTCGATTTAGGGAAACGTGAAAACATTTAATTTGCAAACAGATTTCATTCACTGCCGAAGTCCTTAAATAACCACTCCTGGGAAAGGACGTAACTCACACAGCAGCAGCCCTCCGGTCACCCCCGTGACGGTCAACTGGCCCCTGACGCGCATGTGAAACAGAAAGCGTGTTTTTCATTTCCTGCAAACAAGATCTATTAAGCTCCATGTGGCCTAGCTTGCCAGTTTTGAAGGGAGAGATACAAGTGATGTATTTCAAAAGGCTAGAAGGAGTTAACACCGAAGCGTCACAGAACGGTCACGTTACTGTTCTTACGTTCTACATTCTTCGTCAGGAAAAGCAAAGGCACAGCACTCACACACTCACTCTCACGTCTACACACTCACAAACACCCTGCTCTCTGTGCAGCTTACTCTTCTTCCTCCCTGCTCTTTCTTCCGTCTTCTATGTCCCAGGCACAGCAGGCGCCCGGGAGTCATCCTGGATGGCCCTCCCCAGCCTGCAGTGGGCAGGTTCAAATCTCCAGCTGGCTGCTGGCTGCACCGGCTCCAGCACCAGCCTGGAGCCTGCCCTTCACCCCCGGTATCCGGGGGGTGGACCAGCCCACCCCGCTCAGGGAAGTGCTTGGTTCACCTTTGGTATGCAGGAAGTCGAGCGCAGCAGCAACGTCCCGCACCACTCGGCTGGCTTCTCGCTCGTTGAAGTGCTTCCGCTTCTGGATGTGGGCGAGGATGGAGCCTGGGGAACAGAGGGGACACCAAAGAACGGCTCCTGAGGCGCTCCAAGGCCAAGTTGTCCAAGTCTGAGGCGGGGATGCAGGCTGACTCGTTGTTAAATGTCCAGCACCAAGCACAGTGCCTGGCACAGAGCAGATCCCAGCATGTATCTGTTGAACAAAACTGGACTGCTCTCTTCTGTTCCTGTCTATGAAGGGCTCAGAAGGGAGATGGGACAACTGCTCACACGGTGGACTAACGCCATGAAAAGGGAATGCCTCCAGGCCCGAGGCGGCCAGTCTGTAGGAACAGTTCCTCCCCGGCATCTGACCTCAGGCCCAATCCAGAGTAAGTGCCAGCCCTGCCCAGATACACAGAGGTCGGAAAGTGGGGGAAGCCCGCTTCCACTGGGGGTTTCCATATTTTATTAATATAACTTTTGTTGGCAATTGCTAGCATTTATTGCATAGTTACTATGCACCAAGCACTATGCAAAACCCTCTAAAAGTTACCCTAACCACAGCTATACTTAGTTATCCCTCTTTTATAGATGGTGAACCTGACATCAAAAATGATTAAGCACTTGCCCAAACCATCCACCAGTGAGTGATGGACGCAGGATGCAGGCCTGGCAAGGCCATCCTCAGAGCCTGTGCAGACTGCCCGGCAGCAGGACTGGCAGTCCAACTGGCCTCAACAGAGCTAGCTCCGAGTGGCACGGCCAAGAGCACCCCCGCTGTGTCCAGCATTGCAAGGACAGCATTCACAGTCCCGGCTGTGGGGCGAGCAGGCCAGACCCAGGCCAGACCCAGGCTTGGCTCCGTGTGGTGTAGACTCACCACTGGAAGCCATTTCTCAGCACACGGCACTGTCTAAGAGCCACCCTTCACTGAACCTGCTGGGCACGGCGCTAAGCATTTCACGTGAATTATCTCATTTAATCTTCACAGCAACCCAGTGAGGCAGACACTATCAATACCCCCATTTTACAGATGAGAATACTGCTCAGAAATGGCTAAGTGACCTGCCCAAGGCCACGTGGCTATTAAGCTATGGATTTCGATTTAAGCATAGCTTTGTTGGTTTCTAAGTCATGCTCCCTTAACCATGAAGCCCCTCCGTGCAGCTCTCTACTCAGCTGCACACATGCCTGTCACCTTTACCTTGTACCATGTCCTCAGGCTGGCTGAGTGATGGGGCGGGAAAGGGCTTCCCTAGCCCCTCTGCGTATCAGAAAAGCAACTCAAATATACAGCCCAGTGACACGTCTGGGGATAATGGCAGTACGGAGTGGGCACAAAAGGCATCTTTCCACCTGAAGGCTGGCACCTTCTCAGGATTCCCTCTGTCCTGGGTCAGCACCCCAAACAATAGGACCCTTCCCTCTGACTTAGCCTTTCTAGACCACACTGTGTAAGCGAGAGATTCCACCCCGTAATTAACTTCATTAAACAGTGAACGTGTGAAAGGAGGGGCTGATGGACTGAGCACTAAACGTGCCCTTATACGACTCCTATTCCAATGGAAAAGCATTTAGAGAATGCCCACTCAGGTGACATTCTATGCTCTGCAAAATGCTAATTATCACCCTTCCCTCCGGCCACCCTGCTCCCAAATCAAGGGCAGTGTTTAAGTCCTTCGTCCTTTCCATCGGCCTGACTCGCTTTGGAAGTCTCTGGGATGCATGATGGATGATCCCCACCCGGCTCTTAATCAGAAGTCCACACGCATACTCAACAGTAAGTACCTCCTTGCAATTTCTCAAAGACCAAGTAAAACCTTGTGTCGTCTTCAAAGAACTCAATCAGCTCCAAAATGTTCCTTAAATCGGGAAGAATAGGAGGAGAGGGAAAAGGGGGTGGGGAGAGATGATATCATACGTTAAAGTCCACTTACAAATACACAACTCAAAAGTACACAACACCCTGCAGCGGGAGCAGAAATCAACTTGGAATCAGAATGCACATGAAAGACCCATGTTTGAGAAGCAGCCAATGGTGTTAGCAAGATTCAGGTCACCTTATCTTTCCATAATGTGTAGTCTCTGGTGTTTTCACCAAGCCTGTGCTGTCAAACCCCAACCCTAAAACCCACTAGGTAGAGTTATAAAAAAGTCCCGGTCACATTAAACTGAATAAAATCTGCAGCCGACTGGAAGCAATTGCGGCTAATAACACTGAATAGTAGGTGTGTGTCCTGGAGGCAAGCAGCAAATAATTACTTGCCCTCCCTCTTGCCCATAAATCACGGGGCAGTATTTACATTGCCTGGAGAAAATGGAAACATCTGTCAAATAGACTTGGGGCCTAACGTGGGCACCGCTAGACCCTAACTGCTAAGCGCTGCTTAATGAAACGGCCGCGTTCCCGGCCACTGTAGCACTTGTGGCCTTCCCCGGTGAGCACTCTCTGTCTGCCCGAGTACTGCGGTGCTCTGCCAACAAGGTCGTCTTGTAACTCAGGAGGGAAGCCACCAGCCTGGATATTGGCGGTGTTGGGGGCTTTTTTCTTTTAAAGAATGAAATAAACCAAGTAGAGTCTCTAATGCTGAACTAAGAAGCTGCAGGGCTGAAAATAAAAACCTGTCCCTCGTAAAAAAATGCTGACCACTTTGGGAGACACCAGGCTTTTACTAGTGCGATGGCGTCCAAATAAGATGGCCAAATGGCCTAATTTGAAGGAAGATTGTAGAGGCAGTGCCTGGAGTTAAATCAACAGCAACCCCCAACCTCCAAGCTTAATGACAAAGCCATCAATACACCAGGCCACTGGCTCCCAGCTGACCCTGCCGTGGAGGGGGTGGGGTGCAGCCGAGTCTTAGAGGTGACCCTGACTTAAAGCCACAGAGGGAGAGCCACTCATCTGGAGCTGTGGTGAGCGGCCTGAGATGCTGATGATGGGCTGGAGGTTACCTTGGCCCAGTTACCAAGCAGGGAGTGCCAGGGGTTTCAAGACCCTTACTGGTACCTGCGCATACGCAAACATGCAAGGAATGGACATCAGCAGGCATTGTTCCCTCTTCTGTCCTGCCTGCCTTGCTGATATTCACAGTATTTCAGAACACATAGCGCCTCTGTGGCGACTGCTGCTTCTCTGCTCCTCGCCTGCTGTCTCTGAAAGATGGAGGGAGTCATGTGCAGAGGCGGAGGAGTGGGAGCTGCACCCGGCTCCAGGGGGTGCTAGGAGATGGCCTCCTTTTCTGTGGCCGCAGCTCCCCCCCCCCCCAAAGCAGTAGTGAGGAGCCCCACCCCGACTCACTTGTTTCCTTGACACTGATACAGCGTCTCCACCTCCCGGAACACTCTGTTCCGACTGTGCCCTGCTTGCTTTTCGATGATCTGTGGGAGGAATAAAACGGGTCACAGATGCCCACCTGGCTCCCACACAGCCCCTCTGCAGGAGCCCTCAGGGAGAATGCAAGGCCAGAGGCAGGCCAAAGCCAGCTCCAAGCAGGAGTCTGGAGCAGGCCTTGGCCACACAGGCACAGAGCAGCAGCCTGGCCCCAGGGCTCCGCAACCCAGCTGCTCGGCTCTGGCCAGGCACAGCTCCAAGCAAGCCGAGGAGGCTGCTGCCCTCAACTGCCCGGGGAGACTGAGGCAGCCAGCGAGACAGGGAGCTCTCTCTACTTAACCCCATTGCTGACGGGCATCTCGTTCTGCCTTCAGGGTCAGGATTCAGTTTCTGCTGAGGGATCTCCTGATGCAGGAGAAGAGAACAGGAGAGGGAGGACACACGGGGAGGAACTTAAGCTTCCAGGTCCGGCCCAGAGAACTTCCCCTTTGGAAGGCACTGTGAAGCTGTTTATATGTGAGGATACTTCAAAAAGTTTGTGGAAAATGGAATTCTAAGGTAAGTTTCTTTCAGTTAGAAAATTTCCAAATCCAGCCTAGTTTTTTTTTAATAATATATACAATTTTTCATAAATTTTTTGAAGACCCTTCATATGCATAGATTTCATATTTTTTGCATCCAACAAAAGGTCTTTTAATTCCATTTTTCCATGAACATTCAGAAATACCCTTGTACATAATCTCAGCAAACTCTTATGACAATGTCCAAAGATGAGGGGGCCAGCGCTGTGGCATAGTGGGTAAAGCTGCCATCTGCAGTGCCGGCATCCCATATGGGTGCTGGTTCAAGTCCCAGCTGCTCCACTTCCCATCCAGCTCTCTGTTATGGTTTGGGAAAGCAGTACAAGATGGCCCAAGTCCTTGGGCCCCTGCACCCATGTGGGAGACCTGGAAGAAGCTCCTGGCTACTGGCTTTGGATTGGCCCAGCTCCGGCTGTTGCAGCCAATTGGAGAATGAACCAGTGGATGGAAGACCTCTCTCTCTCTTGCTCTCTCTGCCTCTCCTTCTTTCTCTGTGTAACTCTTTCAAATAAATAAATCTTTTTTAAAAAAATAAAAAAGACAGGAAGGCACAAAACCTTTTGCCCACAGCCCAGAGCTGACTCCGGCGCCCTCTTAGCTCTGCTCCTTCCCCAGACAGCTCTTCAAGCACCTCAAGGCTTCATCTCTCCCACCACAATGGAGGCTTCCCCACACCTCCCACCTGGAGACCCTCGGCAAATGCTGACTGAAGGAATGGCGGCACCAGCAGCGGAGCAGGTGGTCTGCATGGGCATCCGCTGCCTCTCATGAGCTACCCGCACCCGCCCAGAGCCCCAGAGTGTTGCAAACAGGGCCTGTGGGCAAGTCCTCTGTGGAGCCTGGCTCTGCCTCACGGCCATCCCACGCACAGTGGGCAGCAGAGAATGGGGGTCTGCTCCTTCATTCAAAGACTGCTGTGCAGAACACCTCACACGTCCCTAGGAGCATGAACAGCCACGGCCAGCTGTACATTTCGAAACAAGCCACGTCTGCTAGCAGGCTATGTGGGACCACTCTGAGCAGTCTGAGAGTGACAGGCTGGGGGAACAGAAGCTACTCAACCCCAGCTACTCAGCTTCACTCGGCCACATTTCAGGTCTCAGTCAGGAAGAAGTACTTAGCTGGCCAACTGTCCGGTAACGGCGTCCTCCTCTCCAAGGAGGTGACAGGCTCTTGCTACCGGAGATGGAGCAGCAGAAAGAGGAAGATGGACAATGATTTGGCAAGTTACAGAGGAAATTCGAGATCAGATTATCTTGAACTTCTACTGGGACCCTGAAACCTAGAATTTCTTAGCTGATGCCCTATGGAAAGCCATCATAAACCAAGTCTTGTGGGAAGCAGCCATCTGTAGGGAGCTTTCAAAGAGCAGGGAAGACATGAGCCACGGGCAGAACTTCTGAAGCCAAAGGATTGCCAGCCAGCAGCCAGTATTTGCCCAATGATGCCAGGGCCAATTTTTTTGTGTTTTTAAAGATGTCTGTCTTATTCCTTTGTTCCTATACTCCAGGAGCCAGGAGTTTCTTCTGGGTATCCCACGTGGGTGCAGGGGCCCAAGGTCTTGGGCCATCCTCTACTGCTTTCCCAGGCCACAGCAGAGAGCTGCCATGATCCAATCTTAAAAAAAAATACATATTTCAGCTATAAGGGCATTCAAATCTCTGAAAATCAGCTTACATTTGTGGTTTTTGCCATATTTAGGCATTTTTAAAAAAAAATTCCTTGTAATTTATAGTGATCTATTTCCAAAAAGGAACAGAAGTATTGTTCTCTTATAAGTCACAGCTGGGATGGGCAAAGTTGGTTTCTTTCAGGAGCCAACTGGCTGGGCTTGCCAGTATGAGGCCGCGCTGAGACCTAGTGTTTCAGGTGGATGATCTGAAAAAAATCTGAGTTGGCCTCTTGATCTTAATAAGATCCTTTCTCTAGAACAGTGGTCCTGAAACTTTGAGGGGAGAGGTGTTTCAGAATCACCTAGGGAACTTGGTAAAAAAACAAAAAACAAAAAACAGGTGTGGACATTTGGAGCAGCGGTTAAGATGCCCCTTGGAATGTCCACTTTCTGTATTGGAATGCCTGGGTTCAAGTTCAGGCTCTGGTCTCAATTCAGATTATGGCTCAAATAACTGGGTCCCTGGGGTGTTTGTTGTGGTTCAGTAAGTTAAGCTGTGGCTGTGATGCCAGCATCCCATATCTGAGCGCTGGTTCGAGTCCTGCCTGCTCTACTTCCGATCAAGCTCCCTGCTAATGGCCTGGGAAAGGGGATCACGGCCCAAATGTTTGAGCCCCTGACACCTATGTGGGAGATCCAGATGAAGTTGAAGCTCCTGGCTCCTGGCCCAGCCCTGGATATTATTGTGGCCATCTGGGGAATGAACCAGTGGATGGAAGCTCTGTCTCTCTCTGTCACTCTTTCAACATAAATAATAAAAAAATCTTAAAAAAAAAAGGCCAGGTATCATCACTTAGAGAATTGGGAACAAGACTTAAGGAGCTTCAAAGACTTGCCCACAGATAAACAGTAATAGTTTGTCAAAACAGAGATTTAGACAGACCTTCTAATCCCAGATCTGGTGGACCACGTCCTGAAGCTGACTTTGTCAGAATCATGAAAGCGGCTGGTCATCAGCCAAGCACTGTTCTAAGCACTTCACCTATTATTATTCAATCCTCAAAATAGTTCTGTAAGGGTTCTGCTATTACATCCATTTTACAGATGAGGAAATGGAAGGACAGAGAGGTTAAGTAGCTTGCCAGGAGTAACACAGCCAGTAAGTAGAGAAGGTAAGATTTGTATCCAGAGAAGACAGCTCTGCGGAATCTGAAACTCGTTTGGTTTAGGGCAAGCTAGGAATGGCTGTTTGCAAGGCCGGGCCTGGCGTGCAGACGAGACACTCACTTTGACAGCGTACTCTTTGCCACTCTGCAGGCTTACGGCGCCTTGAACTTTGGCATAGGCTCCCTCTCCCAGCAACTCAGAGGTCAGCTTGTACACATCTAGAGGTGAAATGGGTGAGAGGAATAACAAGGTGAGTCATCCCACTGCAAGCTGGGGTGGGAAGAGGCGCCTCCGGCACCCAGCTTCCCCGCTGTGACGGCACAGGCCGAACAGGCGCACAATGACCACGGCACGCTTGCTGACGAGAAAGACGCGTCACCTCCCAGTCATCTCCGGACTCGGTTTCTCAACGAGACCACACGGAAGGCATCCTGTTCCTCTTTTGAGAGTTGAGGTTGCTGGAGGGATTGGGGTTTCCGTTCTGCAGATGCTTCTGAGCACCTACTAAGTGTCAGACAGCACAGGAGGGGCAGAACGAGGAGAGGCTCGAGTCCCTCACCTCCAGCGGTCACAGGCCCGCAGGCTTGACAGCTACACACACGAGTGGTTCAGAATGGCCCCGGCACTGGTAAGAACTATTCCTGAGGGACAAGGCGCAGGGAGAACAGCAGGGACAGGGAAAGGTTGAATCCGCTCGGGCAGTCTGGGCCATCCTCCTGGAGAGGGAACGCTCTGCGGAGCATGTGCTTTGTGGCGAGCTCCTTGCTAAGCACTGCTGAGACAACGGGGAGTAGAACACCGTTTTACACCACAGAAAGTGGACGTCACTGGAGGTTTCTGAGAAGTTTCCAGAAGTCAGCCACAGGAAATAAGAGACGGAAGTAGCCTGCAAACGATGCTTCGAGGTTTTAGGGCACTGAGTCAGAGTGGCTGTGACAGAGTAACAGGCCTGGGTTGAGAACAACTGGGTGGCCTGCCCAAGCTTACAGACAGCATGGGTTCTCTAAGCGCTCTCGAAAGGAGGCCACATCTCCACCACAGCCCTCGCTGACCTGACCTCCCTGTTCTCAGCACCTTCCTCTCATTTAAGCCCGCGGACTGAGCTGAATACTTCTATAACTGCACAAGCAATCCTCAGATAACAGTAAACACTCTCATTTTCACTGAGAGAGCAAAAGACCTGCTGATCTGGAAACTGTTCTAAAACCTCTGGGGCATTTGTAACCCATCTTCCCCTGCCACACATGCACATGTACACATAGATGTCCACTGTCTAAGTTAAGGGAAGACAAACTCCAAACCCCTCCAGTAAGTACCTTCTTGGCTCCATCGCAGTTTGGTCTTGCAGCTGCTCATGAGAATGGTGGCACACTGCTGGCGTTTTAAATGCCATCTTTCTCCCTATGGTCACCTTGCCATCAGGCCTTTACACGCACCAGCACAGGTCGGTGCTGGGGCGCCATATTCCCAACTCATAAGCACATGTTATTAGAACCACTCTACAAGACAGCCAGCTTACTGGTGTGTCTGCAAGGCTGGGAAGAGGGACCATGAGGGCCTCACAATGAGAGAAACAAGAGTTGAAGGGGACAAGTTACTCCTAGCACTAGCTTCTGATCTGGTCTGTCCCCTATAGAAGTGGCTATGGTCCACCTACCCTAGCTCCGATCACCCAATGACCACAGCATCAGCACTGAGTCATATGCCCCACGTGGGGATGGTGTCTAGAAGTGTCCGATGACCCAACACGGCACTTCCGGAACACCCGTGCACTCTTTAACACGGGATCAAGCATGTGCAGCACGAGCAGCTGCAATCTCTAGGAGCAAATTCTTTGCTTACACATGATGGAAGTTTCATTTGCAGCCCCGGCCCCTGGTGTTTCTTGCGTCCTCTAATATGGCCGTCCTACTTCTCAGCAGCCCCTCCAGGAACAGCCAGGGAAGAATCAGCTGAAGAGGAGCACGTGCACCCTGGGCAGTCTCACTCCACACACGCCCTCTGAGGTGGTGTTGGCCCATGGATGGGGGCCAGTGCATCATTCGAGAGCCTTCCCCAACCTTGCTCTCTCTGTCCCACCTTTGTGTCAATCTGCTCAGCCCATCCTTCCCCCGAATCACACAGCTAACCCCTGCTGGCTCCAGGATGGCACAGCCTGGTATCCAGACCCACGGGCAACAGAATGCTTCCCCGTGCTTGGGGAGCTACATCCCAGGGCTAGGAGAGTTGTGATACCGACCTTCAAACCTCCCCGGCAAGGAGTCGGCAGCCCGGGCTCTCCGCTTCTTCTTCTTCCTTTTCTCGCTGTCTGCGACTGAAAGGGGCTCACTGCTGCCCATCTCTGGGAGAGAAGAGGACAGGTCAGGGGAACACCACTGTACTGATCAGGCTCCAAGTTCACCCAGGAGAGAAAGAGGGAGGGGGACCAGGAGCTTTACACGGATGGTTTTTAAATATCTGTGAGGACTATTGATTTGTTTTGACCCAGAAGGCAAAACTAAAGGCAAAACCATTATAGGAGATCATTAACTGTGGAAAGGAACTCAGACAGGCAGGCTAGATTAAAGGAGGATAGCAGAAGCCTGCTTTAACCAAGCTCATTAGCGCATGGATTTAGATCTGCCACCAGTCAAACTGTATTTCCCCAACCGAATAATGACTCTGCAAGCACAGCTCCACCTGTGACGCCCTCTAGTCTCAGCACCCGAAAGGCAGGACCCAGGGAGCTGGGCGAGAAGTGGGTGGGAGCAGGGGCGTGTGCAGACAAACCACAAGCTCAGTGACCCCCCTTGGGGGAGCGCTCACAAGAGGGCTGGCAGCAGGTTGAGAATGACCTTAAAATCCTCCACGTCCCGCAGCACAGACCGAGTGCCAGTGGAGCCCACAGCATCCTCTCCCCTCCCTGGCCCTTCCAGAAGCCTGTGGTCGAGAGGTCCCCGACAGGCTGCTGGGTAAGGTCACTGTGGCAAAGACATTATTCTCTCTCACTGGCATGCACCTGGCCCCCCGTCTTCAAGGGAGGATCCGTGAGGCAGACTTCCAGACACTGGGCAGGAGAGTCAGGCAGGGGCTCAGACAGGAGGACCAGTGAGCCAGGGCCCAATCACAGGACTGTTCCTAAGACACTCCATTCGGGCCGTCCCCTGTGAAAGATAAATTACTTATAGAACATGTCATGCCCCTGATCCAGAGTGGAGCCTTAATACTCTTTGCCTGCAGTTAGAAATAATAAGATTTCTCTGAAGTCTCTGGTCTAAATCCCCACCAGGGTGATTAAACCTTTACATCCTTCTAAAATAGAGGCACTCGAGTGCTGATGGGGTGAACGGTGTGAGAGACTTTCAGACCAGCCTTCAATAAACACAGGCTCTGGGTTGCTGGTTTTTTTTCTTTTCTTTTCTTTGAGAGAGATTTTAAAATGGCTGGCTCTTTGCCCACTGAGGGGAAAAGCCCGCTCTCTTCTCAGAGGATGCGGTTGAACGTGATCAGAGAAATGGCCCGTCTGCCTGGAAGACTGATTAGCACTGATGCCCGGCCATGCGCTGTCCTCAGAGGCCAGCACACGGCGGCCGCGGAGAGAGCGCATGCAGAACGGCTTTGAGCCACCGCAATCCAGAAAGCGTGGGCAACAGCCAAGGGCCTGCCAGCTCAATGCAAACATTCTCTTGCATTCTGGGGCCCTGATGACAGCAGGTTTTACGTTATTCTTTTGAAAATAGAGAAGATAGGCACATGGAAAAAAGAAATCCACTGAAGATCTCAAAATATTACTGTAGCCAACGACTTCGAGGACAAGCTATAGCTGGGGAGTGCAACGCCCTGTGAATTCAAAGCACTACACACCAACATTGGCACCAGAACACCAACACTCATCAAGGTGAGTTAAAAGGAAAAAGCGGCCCAAGCACTTCTCCTGAGCACAGGGAGGAATTCTGCAGAAATAACATGCAGGCCCCTCATCGGCAGGAACTCAGGGAACGAGCCCGGGCCATGGATCCGCAGGCTGAGAAGGGAGCCCTGGCCCTTTATCCTGACCTTGCACGGAGTCCAATGTCAACCCTGGTCCCCATCTATTTTCTCAGCCCTGTGAGCCAAGTGCAGACAGCTTTGGGGTTCAGCTCATTCTCCATCCCCTGTCCACGTCCAGATCGAGGGCCTGAAGACAAGCAAAACAGCCGACAGGCAGGCAGTGCAGAGGAGCGGCGAGAGAGCTGGCGGCATTATAATTCACAGGGGATGCTCAGACATACTTACGACTCTAGCTAGAAAACCCTGTTAGCGGCAATTTATACTCGGCCTTTACCACAGCAGGGCTGCGGGAGCCTCTTGCGGAAGAAGCATGCCTCTGAGCTTGGCCGCACACTCACTATTAGGTTTTATGGCTTCACGCGAGAAGATCGAGTACCTGGTCTATTCTGCATGGATTCAGTGGAAGAGGGGACGCCAGAAGGCACAAATGGCTAAGCCTTGCCTTGGAAACAGAACTTGTTGTTGGAGAGTTGTGTTTGCAACTAGAAAGGAAAATGTGGGAAGACAGTGAAGTGAAAGAAACACACTTAACTTCCCTGTTTACGGGGGCTGGGGGTGGAGGGAGGGATGTCGTAATCTCACCAAGGGGTTCATGGGTCCCCACTGGGAGGCTGTCCACACTATTTTACTGCAGAGTCCCCAGGCAGGTCAGGGGCACGTTAGTCCAGTAGGCACGTAATCACTGGCTACATGCTTCCTCTGGGTGTAAGGCCCCATCGTCAAGTTGCATCTTGGCACAATGGCTTCCCTTGGCCTAGGAATTCTTGGCCATCAAAGTCCAGCTGAGAAGACCTGGGCCCTTTGCAGACAAGCTACGGTTTGTGCAAACACTTTAGAATCAGTTCAGCATCATGAAATTAGAGGGTAGTGCTGAGCAGAGCTGGGAGTTACTGCTCCATCCTGTTCTCCAACATCCTGCAAGAAGCACCCTCAGAGCACTGGTTTCATTTGGCTCCGTGTCCTGAAAGGCCAAGGCTGTCCCTTGTTCACCCACGACAGAGTGTCAGACTCCCAACAGCCATCAGACACTGCGCGCTGACATGAGACTGATGCGAGACGAGGCACACTCCAAGCGTAAGGTGCAGTGCAGGTCACGTGGGTCCCGGAGGGATGCAGTGCACGTGCTGGGAGGAACATGGGGACACCTCGGCCCTGCAGACCATGTGAAGTAAGGAGATTCAGTTCAACGAGTTCCGTTCAAGCATTTTCTCACTTCCCTGACAAACTCCACCTCAAAAAGAATCCTAGGACGCCAAAGGTCCTTACTTTTCTATCCAGAAGGCTGGTCCTTGGTATAGGACTGGGCAATGGGTCTGTTACTGAAGAGGAAAAGTGAGAATTCTTTTCAGACCCAAACTGGACGAGAGGCTCCCAGCACGTCCGCGGCTCCCAGCCCTTGCCCTCCTCTTGGGCGGGGCTTGGTGGCCACCACTTGTGTGTGTTGGCAGACAGGGAAGTGGAACTGGACAGGAAGCATGCTGCTGACAGGGAAGAATCTGATTGGTTTTAAAACTGTGTCCAGATTCTCTGTGTTGAAATTCAACATCCAGTGATAAAAATCATTTCAGGAATATTGGTGCCTTTTAGATATTAATTTTATAACCATGAAGAAAACAACAAACGCTGGGGCAGGCATCTGGCTTAGCTCCACATCCCATATGAGTGTCTGGTTTGAATCTTGGCTCCTGCTAGCGACTTCCCTGGGAGATGGCAGAGGATGACTCAAGTTCTTCGATCCCTGCCACTCACGTGGGAGACCCAGACTGAGTTCCGGGCTCCTGGCTTTGGCCTGGCCCAACCCTGGTTTTTGTGGGCATTTGGGGAGTGAATCAATTGGTAAAGATCTCTGTCTCTCTCCTTTCAAATAAAATGAAAATAAATAATTTTAAAATACTATTATTTTAATATTTTAAAAAATGCTATTTTATTTAGAGGAAATACTTAGTAAAAACAACAACAACCAAAAGTGTAATGAACATTCGCGCCTGAGAGCCAGGGGCTCTTCACTGCTCCAGGAACTCAGACAAGCTGCTTAGTTCCCCAGAGTATCAGTTTCTTTACGAGTGGGGACTTAACAACGTTTGTGGAAAACAGAATTAAAAGACAAGCTTAGGGGCTGGCGCTGCGGCGCAGCTGGCTAACACCCTGGCCTGAAGCGCCAGCATCCCATATGGGCACCAGTTCAAGTCCTGGCTGCTCTACTTCCGACCCGGCTCTCTGCTATGGCCTGGGAAAGCAGTAGAAGGCAGCCCAAGTCCTTGGGCCCCTGCACCCACGTGGGAGACCTGGAAGAAGCTCCTGGCTCCCGGCTTCGGATCGGCACAGCTCCGGCCGTTGCAGCCAATTGGGAAGTAAACCAGAGGATAGACGATCTCTCTCTCTCTCTCTCTCTCTGCTTCTCCTCTCTCTGTGTAACTCTGACTTTCAAATAAAATAAATAAATCTTAAAAAAAAAAAAAAAGAAGAAGACAAGCTTAGAATGTGTGTGACAAAGGGCCGGCGCTGTGGTGTAGTGGATAAATCTGCCGCCTGCAGTGCCGGCATCCCATATGGCACCAGTTCGAGACCCGGCTGCTCGACTTCTGACCTAGCTCTCTGCTGGCCTGGGAAAGCAGTAGAAGATGGTCCAAGTCCTTGAGCCCCTGCACCTGCATGGGAGACCCGGTAGAAGCTCCTGCTCCTGGCTTTGGATTGGCACAGCTCCAGCTGTGTGACCAACTGGTGAGTGAACCAGCAGATGGAAGACCTCTCTCTCTCTCGCTCTCTCTGCCTCTCCTTCTCTCTCTGTGTAACTCTGACTTTCAAATAAATAAATGAATCTAAAAAAGAAAAAAAAGAATGTATGTGACAAAATACCCTTCTTTCCCCATGTTACGATCATTGTCATGAATCCCTCTGTGATATTAATTTATCTGTCTTTAAGAAAAAATAGTACGTATAGGCATGTATGTGATATCTATATATGCAACATATGTGGCAAGATATTAAAAATTGTTAAATTTTAAATCTAAAAGTAATAAACTAAAAAATGAAGTTTATTTGCGTGCCAAAAGGTTTCGAAATCTATGTATATGAAAGGGCTCTAAAATGTTCATGGGAAATGTATCCTATGAAAAAATCTATGCATGGATTTCAATTTTCTTGTACCAAAATAAACTTAAGATTTAATTCCATTTTGCAGGCATTTTTGAACCCCCTTTGTATATGAAAAGGGGGAAAAGTAAGGCTTGGGCCTTACACAGGCTGTTGTAAGATCAAATGAGGAAGGAAACAGTTTCTCATTCAGCAATAGTGTATTCGCTGGGCACCTGATGGTCCAGGTCTAGACTACAGCAGAGGACACGGTCTCTGCCCTTGCGTCATTTCATCCTACTGACGTACACAACAGTTTCAACGCAGCAGGCCACGTGCCGTGACAGGGACATAGCATGGAGCAGACGACAGGACTCTAAACCAGTTGCATAGTAACTCAAAGCTGTCGGCTGGAGGATGAGTGGGATCTGGCTAAGGTGGAGGCTGGGAGAGGGTGCCCCAGACTGAGGAAAAGCTGGCACTGAGCTGGCAGGAGGGGCGGCATGGATGGTTAGTGCTGCTGCCCACGGCTCAGGCTGCCTGGAGCATGGAGTACGTGAGGGGAGTGGTGGCAGACCAAGTGGGAAGGCGCCGTGCCTCCATCGGTGTAACAGATGTTTCTATTCCAAGCACGTGTTTATCTTGTTTTCTCCACTAAAAGAGAGATGCATGTTTTCATTTCTTAGTAAACCTTGTTGGCCAACAAGTGCTGATGGTAAGGATTCAGATCCAAGAAGCCACCTGGCTCCTGCATGGGGGAGGCCCGGAGAACTCACAGAGCACAGGGATGGGGGCAAGGAGTCTCTCCCTGAGGGCTGCACTAGTAACAGACAGTCCTGACACGCAAGCCTCGACCACCGCTCCCCTGTAAGCTGACCTCGAGCCAGGCTTCTGGAAGAACTCTCATTTCTCCAGGGAGTCTTAGAAGCCAAATGGCTCCCAAAGCCACCAGACCTTACCCCATGTGAGGGCAGGGCCTACAAAGACCTCACCAAGTTCTCATATCTGGTGTGTGACCCCAAAGATGATCACCTTGCCCCTAAGAACACGGCTTTGTTGGCTCCTTCAGCTCCATGAACCTGGCTCGTGCTCCTCGCCCAAGTACTCCGGAGTCCTGTTCAAGGTCCCAGCCTGCAGGCGCGAGTCCCTCCCACCATAAGAGCTTTGTGGGAGGGAACAGTGGTGAGAACAAGAGGATGAGGCTAATATGGACACAGTTGCCATCTCGGCCCTCAACTGAGGGCCCCAAGGCAAACCGGAAGCTGAGAAAATAAAGAAAACTGGGGATGAGAAAAAAGTGGGGTGGACCAGGTCGTTGAAGCAGTAGCAGTCACAGTACACACTACTCCCAGTAGTAGTTACAGCACATGTATGCTGACAGGTGCGTATCATGCCAGGCAAGGTTCTAAGCACTTTACAAACACCACACTTCACATATATAGACTGAGTCTCCCTTTATTCTTTAGACCAGAAGTGTTTCAGATTCTGTAGTTTTTCAGGTTTTGGAATGCTTGCATAGACTTAAAATCCAAAATCCGAGGCCAGCGCTGTGGCCTAGTGGGTAAAGCTGCTGCCTGCAGTGCCAGCATCCCATATGGGTGCCGGTTTGAGTCCCGGCTGCTCCACTTCCGCTCTAGCTCTCTGCTATGGCCTGGGAAAGCAGTAGAAGATAGCTCAGGTGTTTGAGCCCCTGTACCCACGTGGGAGACCCGAAAGAAGCTCCTGGCTTCAGATCAGCCCAACTCCAGCCGTTACAACCATTTGGGGAGTGAACCAGCAGATGGAAGATCTCTTTATGTCTGTCTGTCTCTCTGTCTCTGCCATTGCCTCTCTGTAACTCTGCCTTTCAAATAAATAAATAAATCTTAAAAAAAAAAAAATCCAAAATCCAAAATGGCCCCAAATCTAAAACTTTTTAAGTCCAAGTTTCAGATTTTGAAGCACTTTCAATTTCGTATTTTCAGATTAAAGACACTCAACCTGTACTAATTTATTTAATCCTCACAACTCTATGAGATAAGCTTAATTATTATCCGCATTTTGCAGATGAAGAAACTGAAGTATGAAGAGATTAAGTGATTTTCCTCGGTTACACAGCCAGTAAGTTGGCACAGCCGGGATTTAAATCCAGGTAGTCTGACTCAGGGTTCAAGCTTATGCTGTATTTCAACATTAATGCTGTACAGCTGAAGTGAGTAGTCGGTAAGAGCAGGCTGGGCACCCATGGGAATGCTTTTGCTTATAACCCTTAGCACAGAGCTGCCCTCCCGGTGTGCCGTGAGTGAGCTGTGGTCCCGCTCAGGCAGCCAGGCTCCCTGCTCAAGGGTGCGGGTGCTCTTCTTTACTGCGTGTGCTCTGATGCAAAGACGCTGGCTAGCAAAGCGCTTGCTCACGTTATCACCACGTTCTCATCGTCCATTGATCTAAAATGTAACACATCAGCTTTGTATTTTGACTTCTGATAAAAAATGAGCCAAAACCAAAGTCCATCCACATTATTTTGTGGCAGTACGGGTATCTGGTACAAGGCTGTTGGTCTGCTTCTGCCTGACCTGGTAGTTGGTTGATGTGGTTTCTGATGGCATCATTACTGTGCAGGAGACAGGGCAGAGCACCACTCAGACAGAAGCGAGTCAAACCTAGCACACAGTGGATGAAAGGCGCTACCTGTGAAATCGGCTAAATCAAAGGACGCTCTGTGTGTACACAAAATTCCAAGGGGCTAAGGTGTCCTTTCCCCAGGAGCCTGGCATGTTGGAAGGCTGGGCAGCTGCGTGGAGACTGCAGTGAAACCGGAAGGGGAGGCCTGCTCGGGGGCCAGCAGGTGGCTGCCAGCAGGGTGGCCTACAGCAGGCCTCAGTCAGGCTGGGGTATGAGATCCTCAGAGGCAAAGGTCTAGACTGGAGCCAGTCTTCTCCCTCTGTTCTGACCCTGGGATCACAAGCAGCCTTCAGAGCTGTTACTGTACATCCTGGTGGAAGGAATGACAAGAGGAAGGATGCGCAAGGGGAGAAGGAAGTGTGTGCCTAAGAAACAGCAAGCAGGAGGTGAGTGTTTGGCACAGCAGTTAAGATGCCTCTTGGGATGCTTGTATCCCATATCTGAGTGCCGGTTCGAGTTGCAGCTCAGGGTCAGCACTGTGGCATAGTGGGTTAAGCCATGGTCTGCAGAGCCAGCATCCTGTATGGTCACCAATTCAAGTCCCAGCTACTCTACTTCTGATCCAGCTCCCTGGTAATGTGCCTGGGAAAGCAGTGGAGGATGGCCCAAAGACCCAGGGCTCCTGCACCTATGTGGGAGACCCAGATGAAGCTCCTGGCCCCTGGCTTCAGTTTGGCCCAGCCCTATCCATTGCAGCAATTTGGGGGAATGAATCAGTGGATGGCAGACTTCTCTCTCTCTGCCTCTCCTTCTCTATAACTCTGCCTTTCAAATAAATAAATAAAAACAAAAACAAAAATAAAACAAACAAAAACTCCAGCTCCTATGCTTCTGATCCAGCTTCCTGCTAATGTACACTGTGGGAGACAGAGATTGAGTTCTGGGCTCCTGGTTTTGGCCTGGCCCAGCCCGGGCTGTCATGGGCATTTGAGAAGTGAACCAGCAGATGGAATACCTCTCTCTGTCATTATGACTTTCAAATGAAAATATTAAGAAAAAATTTTAAATAACAGGGGCTGGCATTGTGGCATAGTGGCTTAAGCCTCTGTCTGCAACACCAGCATCCCAAATGGGTGCCTGTTTATGTCCTCGCTGGTCCACTTCCAATCCAGCTCCCTGCTAATGGCCTGGGAAAAGCAGCAGAAGATGGTCCAAGTACTTGGGACCCAGCCACTCATGTGGGAAACCTAGAAGTTCTTGGCTCCTGGCTTTGGCCTGGCCTAGCCCTGGCCATTGTAGCCATTTGGGGAGTGAATCAGAGAATGGAAGATCTCTCTGTCTCTTCCTCTCTCTCTCTGTAACTCTTTCACATAAATAAGTAAATCTTAAAATTTTTTAAATAACAATAACAACAAAATTATAGTAAAGAGGAGTAAAGAACTGGATTTCTGTGAGAAGGAGAGTGTACAAGGATCTTTAGGGTCAGCGCTGTGGCGCAACAGGTTAAAGCCCCAGCGTGCAGCACTGACATCCCATATGGGCGCCAGTTCGAGTCCCAGCTGCTTCACTTTCGACCCAGCTCTCTGCTATGGCCTGGGAAAGCAGTACAAGATGGCCCAAGTCCTTAGCCCCTGCAACCGCGTGGGAGACCTGGAGGAAACTCCTGGTTCCTGGCTTTGGATTAGTGTAGCTCCAGCTGTTGTGGCCAATTGGGAGTGAACCAGTGGATGGAAGACCTCTTTCTCTCTCTCTCTGCCTCCTTCTCTCTCTGTAACTCTGACTTTCAAATAAATAAATAATTTTTTTTTTAAAATGTCAGTAAGCAGGGATGGACATTTGGCAAAGTAGTCAAGCTGCTGCTGGGGTGCCTGCATCTCACATCAGAGTGCCTGGGTTCACGTCTTGGCTCTGCCTCCCTTCATGTCTCCCGCTATTGCTGACCCTGGGAGGCAGCAGGGGACGGCTCAAGTATCTGTGTCCCTGCCACCTATGTGGGAGACACATATTGAGCTTCTGGATGCTGGCTTCAGCCTGGCCTGGCCCTGGCTGTTCTGAGCATTTGGGAGTGATGTCTTTCTGTTTCTCTTTCTCTATGCCTTTCAAATAATAAATAAATTTATAACTCAATAAGCATGTTTTATTTACTGCAGAGTTTTCCTTATGGCCATCTGCCATTTGATTCTGGTAGAAAAGTCCTCCTCCTTCCTGATGCCTGTCTCAGGCACGAAGGCACTCAGCTAATCCCAGCTGCCCAGCTCAACAACGAAAATGAGGCTCTGGAAACACCCGATCCTTCGGCCTGAAGTAATCTAAAAGGACATGTAAAATGCACACTCGATCTTACCTACAGGCTTCCCCAACTTTTGAGAGGTGATCCTCTGCGACCTTGAAATTCCAAATGAGATGATGTTGCCGTCAGCAGGTTGGAGTCTTCCAGCTACAGGAAGTGTTTCAATGGCCCCTGTAGGTTCTACATCCGCCTCTGCTTCATCCTATCTGGAGTGAAATCTGAAAAAACAGGACAGAAAGGTCATATATATCTTGACTTTTTAAAAAAAAAAATAGTTATTTATTTGAAAATCAGAGCTACACAAAGAGAGGACAGGCAGAGAGAGAGAGAGGTCTTCCATCCACTGTTCACTCCCCAAATGGCCGCAACGGCTGGAACTGTGCCGATCCAAAGCCAGGAGCCAGGAGCCTCCTCCAGGTCTTCCCATGCAGGTGCAGGGGCCCAAAAATGCTGACTTTTTTGAGAGCCAGAGACGATAGAGATCAGCCTGCATGGAGCCCAGACTTCGGATCACACCAGTGTGTAGGTCTACACAAGGCAAGCACGGATGTCCCCAGCTCTTTACCAATCAGACATCTGGGCACGTGAAAATGCTGGGATCACACACTGGAGATTTATTTATTATTTTTAAAGATTTATTTATTTATTTGAAAGTTAGAGTTACAGAGAGAGGGAGAGACGGAGATCTTCTATCTGCTGGTTCACTGTCCCAAATGGCCACAACAGCCAAGGCTGGGGCATGCTGAAGCCAGGAGCTTCTTCTGGGCCTCCCATGTGGGTGCAGGATCCCAAGCACTTGGGCCATCCTCTGCTTTCCCAGGCACATTAGCAGAGAGCTGGATCGGCAGTGGAGCAGCTGGAACTCGAACCAGTGCTCATAGGGGATGCCAGCATTGCAGGCAGTGGCTTTACCTGCTACATCACAATGCTGGCCCCATGCACTGGAAGATTTAACAAGGGTCTGAGCAAAGCTCCTCAGATTCTGCTTCTACTGTGGGACACCAGACCCCAAAAGATGTGACTGGCCCGGGCGTCAGAGACAGACACTGCTGTTCACTCTGAGAAGTCTCGTGCACAAAGTAAACGCTGAGCTTGTCTCCTCTCAATAGGCTAATCTTCCGCCTGTGGCGCCGGCACTCCGGGTTCTGGTCCTGGTTGGGGCACCAGTTCTGTCCTGGTTGCTCCTCTTCCAGTCTGCTCTCTGCTGTGGCCAGGGAGTGCAGTGGAGGATGGCCCAAGTCCTTGGGCCCTGCACCCGCATGGGAGACCAGGAGAAGCACCTGGCTCCTGGCTTCGGATCCAGGAGAAGCACCTGGCTCCTGGCTTCGGATCAGCACGGTGTGCCAGCCGTAGCGCGCTGGCCACAGCGGCCATTGGGTGGTGAACCAACGGCAAAAGGAAGACCTTTCTCTCTGTCTCTCTAACTGTCCACTCTGCCTGTCAAAAAAAAAAAAAAAAGAGAGAGAGAGAGAGAGAGATGAATGAGCTCTGGCTCTACCACCCAGAGACCAGGCCCAAGTCCGATTGGCGAGAGGTAGCAGAGCCAGAGAGACAAAGACGCATGGACAAATGTGCCCTCACTGCTCCTTCTCAATCTGATGACGTCCTTTTCTCTGTGTCCACTGCTGGCGTTCATTCTGTGGCTCCAGCTATCATGTGTCGAAACTGCTTTGTCAACCTCTTCTCTACAAAACAATATGTGCTTCCCCTTTTCCTGGGGGAAAGCTCTGAAAATACTGCTTAAGTCTGAATTCTGGGCTCGTGGGCCAAATTTCTGCAAAGGCTTGTGCTTCCCCATCGCCTCAAAGCACGTGTCCCTAACTGGCGCTGTCCCCAGCCCCTGCTCTCTGCTTCCTTCCAGCCTCTCTGTCAGATCACATTATCCTTCCACCCTCCCAGCCACAGTGTTCCTAATGCCCCCTTCTCTCCTGTCTTCTTAGGCTCCAAATGCTCGCACCATCAGACATTCCCTTAGCCTGGTATGCAGCTCCTTGAAAAGTAACTTCTACTCATCCTTCAAGGCCCAGTGCAAATTACCCAAAGTAGTCTTACAAGTCATGGCAGCAGTCTTCCTCCTTTCCAAGTTCATCCAACATGTAAGTGAGTCCACAGTATGCAGACACAGCAGGCCACACACACGTGCATGGGCCCTCCCACAGGCCAGGCGCTCCTCAAAGGCAGGGAGCATCTTTCTTATGTCTGTAGTCGCAGCATCTCACACAGTGCCTGGCATCACTCTAGTGAATCTGAATGTACTGCTTCATTCACAAACTCCTTAGCGTCCATGAGAGACATCAGCACATGGTACCGCCCTTCCTTTCTATTTCCAAACAAGTCTCTGAGGCCCCATGGAACTATATCCAGGCCCAAGGAAACTCAGGCGCTCCTCCCTCCCCCACTGCCACTACAGCACTTCCTGGGACAACTGTGAACCCCTTTAACTGCCAGGCCTGCCACAGGTCTCTTCCCGTTGCCTATAGCAGGGATTGGCTCTATTTTTTTCAATACAGGGCCAAACAATGAATAAATATTTGACACTTCGTGGGTCACATGGTCTCCATTACAACTGCTCATTTTTGTCTTTGTAGAGCAACAGCACAAGGGAAATACGTACCAGAGCGACTGTGGCTGGACATCTATTTCCACCTGACTGCCCTAAACAACTTCCAGTTTCCCTACTTGTGCCTAATTCAATCACGATGGCTGTGACATTTTTCTAGATAGCATCACCCAGACTGAGCTGGGGTAGGGCAGAGACCACGTGTGATTCACCTCTGGATCCTAGCACAGGGTCTGGCAGAGGCCAAGGCTTAACAGATGCTGAAGAATGGATGAAAATCCCCTTCTACTGTTTTAGCCGGCCTTTCATTAGCAGACTGAGCACAGTCTGGGTCACTGCCGGGAAGTAGAAAAACCAAAGAGAAAGCAAAGAAGCATAACCAATGCGATCCAGGCTATGGAAAACAGGTTTTAGGAGAGCGGTCAAAGAAACCAAGGCTGGTTAGCCTGCAGAGGAGAAGATGAGGCCTAGCTGGATTCTGCCTTTAAGCACGGAAAAGGTTCTCACGAGAAACTCTTGATCTCATCCTCCTTTTATAATCCGAAGTAACTTTTCTATATTCATGGCAAATGGAACAGTGAGAAACGGCTTAAGTTGAGGACAGCAGGGCTGAAGCTGGAGACAAAGAACTGAACTAAGCACCACTTCTCCAGTCATTCTTCTTGTACCTGGAGGGCTTTTGCCGGGCGCTGCTGAAGCCTGTGCCAACAGAAGTGAGGATGCAGTCCCCCTCCTGCTTACCGTGCAGGGAGGTGGGTGGAAACAGATCAGGTCAGATAAGGTTCTCCAACAAGCCCGGGGCCTTTCTTAGCCCTCTCCTACAGGCACCTTCCATCACGGCAGGCTTTGCAGCCCTATGATGGAACCAGCCAGTATTTCAGTTTTTCTGCTAGGGCACTGAGAAGAAAGACAAGGTAACAATGCCAGAGTAAGACGGAGGGAAAACAGCCCGAAAGCAACACCTAGCTGGGCATCCACATAACCAATGTCATGATTACTGCTACCGCTAACATTCACTGAATACCTGAACACGGCTAGGACCTGCGCTGTTCAATGGAAGTTATCCTAATTCTCCTAACAACTCCACGAAGTAGCTAATATTTGCATCCGCATTTTATAGATGAAGAAACTGAGACTTAACAAGGTTAAATAACTCACTGAAGTGGCAGCACACAGACGGACTCAAACCCAGCCAGTCTGACTCCAGGGTCTCTACACCTAACTACTGCCTTCCAATAAGGATAAGAGACAGGAATTTAAAATTTTTAATGAAACTTATTTATTCAAGAAGCAGACACACACATATACACACAGAGAGCTCCCATCCACTGGTTCACTCCCCAAACAATCCAGGGCCAGAGCCAGAGCCAGAGCTGGCAACCAATCCAACACATAGGTGTCAAGGACCCAGCTACCTGAGCCATCATGGCTGCCTCCGAGGGTCTGCATTGGCAGGAAGCCGACACTGGGAGACAGTGCCAGAGCTGAGTGCCAAACCCAGGCACTCTGATATGGGATGTAGGCATCTTAACCACATGGCAAATGTCTGTCCCAGAGACTGGGAATTAAACCCTGATCTCTCTGAATCCAGGTTCACGCTCTCAGTCACTTCCAAAGTCAAAGCAGTATATGAGATTAGCAGGAGATGAGCGTGCAGAAGTAAGCCAAAAGACTCCCCGCATCTTGGGAAGGAAGACTGAGGTCGAGGGCTCAACAGAGGAGAAAGAACAGAGCCCTAGTCAGGGTTTCTGCGGCCTCACACAGCCTCACGGAAAAGAATGTGGACTTTTGGGGCCGGCGCCATGGCTCACTTGGTTAATCCTCTGCCTACGGCACCGGCATCCCATATGGGTGCCGGGTTCTAGTCCGGGTTGCTCCTCTTCCAGTCCAGCTCTCTGCTGTGGCCCGGGAAAGCAGTGGAGGATGGCCCAGGTGCTTGGGCCCTGCACCCGCATGGGAGACCAGGAGGAAGCACCTGGCTCCTGGCTTCGGATCAGTGTAGCTCTGGCCATAGCGGCCATTTGGGGGGTGAACCAATGGAAGGAAGACCTTTCTCTCTCTCTCTTTCTCATTGTCTAACTCTATCTGTCAATAAATAAATAAATAAATAAAATAAAAAAAATGTGGACTTTTGAACTCAGCATTCCTAGGTGTGAACCAAGCTATGTGACTGACCATGCGGAAGTCACTTTCATCTTTCAGTTGGGGCTAAATAGCCCGACTGCACGGCTTGTGAGGATTAAAGTAGTTACAGGGTGGAAAGCACCTGGCACACTGCAAGCCAGACAGCAAAGCAGGCACTCTGTGCATACCCGAGCTCTTCCCCTTCCCGCTCTCTCCGTTTTAGCCAGGACACACCTCTAGTTTATTTCCCCTCTTCACCTGCTCCCTTCCTCTCTGCACACACACACCCCTGCACATCTGCATCTCTAGACCACTGCCCAAGCGGCTCCTTCTCCCAAGGCCAGCACAGATTCTCCACCTCCGAGGGTTCCTTGGTCATGCTGGAATGGATTTCTCCTCCTCCCAAACTCCCCCTTTGTTGACATTCCTTACTACCCTTCCCGGGTCAGCGTGATCGCGGTCAGTGCGATCGCAGCTATGTCTGCGCTTATCTGTCTTCCCAACCACACTGGAGGGAGAGGGCTCCGAGAGGCAAGACGCGGGGCCTTCTCGGTGCAGCGACTCTTTCTCTTGTGCTGAGCAAGGCCACAGGCTGTGCTTACTGAATTGGCTCTTTCTACCCCTCCCTGGGACTCTTCACAGGAAGATACCAGACCGAGTTTTTTCTAAGCTGTACATTTAGAGCCTGCCGTTGAGAAAGAGGCAATTTTTGAAGTATCTTAATATTCCAAAACTAAGACCCACGAACACTCATGTGGGCTTGGTTCACTGCTTCACCCATTCTTCCAGCGTGCGCTGGGCTCCTCCCGGGACATATCTGCAGCGTCCTGGGACGCATCGCTCGGAGGATGGCTCTCACCCAGGATGGAGGCACATCTGGGAGCAATTTCTTAGAACTGCTCCTCCCACCCACTGGCTAGGCGATAACTGCCATGAAAACCACACTAAAAATGTGAGCTGTAGAATCAGAAAATAGATCTGGAGGATTTCTATTTGTGTCAGTTTCTGAGTCCATAAAATAGAGTTAAAATCACTTAAAACAGTGTCCCGCACACAGTAAGCACTCAATACATGTTGGATATTATACTAACAGTGTAGTGCACCGAAGAGACAGGGGTTTTGCTTCTAGAACTGCCTCTACCAGTGACTAAGTCCTTGTGGAATCTTGCTCAAGTTATCTCTCTTCTCTGGGCCTTTCTCCATCTGTAAAACCAAAGTGGCAGAACCAGATGGTCCCCAAGTTCCTTCTGCCTTCAACAATGTATATTTTTCTTTGATCAACAAAGAACCTTCTGTTCCATAGGCTGAGGCTGCTGGCAAGGAAAAATGTGTATTTGTAGCTGCTGGTCCCCAGATAGGAGGGACTACTGTTTCCCAAGGCCAAGGGCAGAGCAACTGATTAGTCAGCCACCTGTGGGCTGTCCCCTACCAGGACTATATCACACCAGTGCAGGTCCCTAAACAGAGTTCTATTTCCTTCCTGACAAAACTCACAGAAAAGGCAAGACAAGAGCCTGAAAGCAACAGCACCGATGAAGAATCCTGGCTTGTGCAGAATTCCTGGACTTTCTTGCCTTTGATGCCTGCAATTAGGGCATCATCAATCTAACCCACAGCCTTCCTTGGGCACAGAGAGGAAGAAAAACACAGAGCTCCACTGGGAACCTAACCTGACAGCTCATAAAGCAAGGACCAAAGCAAGTAAACACAAAGTCACTGAGTCACTTAGCCACGAACACTGCCGAGGCCGAGGATGTGCTGGCGCCGTATTGGTGAGGAGGCATTCTGAGACAGCTGGGGTCCCCTGCCATCCAACGACTCGGAGCCCATACAGGGAGACATGCTCCAAGGCAGATGGTGATAAGAACCACACTGCAGGTTCAGCCTCCGTACAGAAGTCAGGAAAGGGAGCAACCAACACAGCGGGAGGATCCAAGAGGCTTCTCCAGGGACAGGGCCTTGAAAGATGAGGAGGAGTAGGGAATTCCAGGAAGGAGGAATGCAAACAGAGGCTGCAGCAGCAACAGGTAAGGGGTGTTTGAGGAGCCAAGATTAGTTTGTTTGGACTGCGGCACAGGTGCAGGTTTGTGGGAACAGGGCAGGGGAAAGGTCTGGGAACATATTATGGAAGGACTTGTGGATGAGTTCAGAGGACCCAGTTACTAAATTACCATGGGGCCACACGCATTTCCTAAGCAGGTACTGGACTCTGTCACAGCTCCTCTGCACAGAGCTTCGCTCTCCCATGGTGTCTGGCATCACGCAGTCTGAGTTGCCAGGTCTTTCAACCAGCAAAATCTGCCAACGTGCTACAGTAACAACATTCCCGAGGAAGCAGGAGCCCAGCCAACTCTCTGGATTGCAGAGAGAGACAGCGGAGGTGGAAGCTGCTGGGGGAGATGGCACCACGGTCTCTAGCTGGCTCAGTCCATACAAAACCCAACCCTCTTGAGAGTGGCTGAAGCTAAGGTCAGTGGGCTGAAAGTACCTGGCTGGCAGCTGGCGACCCAGTGGGACACTACACACCCGGTGCCCAGCAGGCGCCTGGTACACAGGCCTTGGGCAATACGCATTAGTGCTTCCCATCCTGCAAGACCATTTCCTTCTGTAAAACTACTGAGGCCTCACCTCAGGGCCCAGATCATAACAACTCCTCGCTAAAGCACCCCAGCCCACAACGTCCTCGCTCCTAGAAATCTCAGCAGTCTTGTATTCGGTGCAGATGACATGACAGGTGTCACAGTAGGTGGCTTACATGTAACCCGATTCAAGCCTCAGGATGACCTCACTATACCCACTTTACAGAGGAGAAACGGCAACTCTGAGATAGGAAATGACTTGCTTGAGGACACAGGCTTGGAGGTGGCAAAGGCGAGGTATGAACCCAAGACTGCCTGACCCCAAAGTCAAGCACTTCCAACCACACTTCATTCCTGGCCTCCCATCGGCCCTGACCCTCTGCTGGCAGCCTGTGAGCTCTCTGAGGGAGCCCGCACCTGCCACAGTGACCTCTCCTCTGCTGGACAGCCACCTGCCCACGACAGGTGTTTTTAAATATTGCAAAATAAATGAAAACAGCCAACTCGAAAATAAAGTGCTTCACGGATTTTATAAATGCCTCAAGTGAAAAACTATTCAAGAGGTTGCACTGGCTGAGCCTTGAACTCAGTCCCGATCCCTGGGAGACAGATCGAGGCGCAAAGTGGCCACACTGAGCTCCCACCTCCAATACCGACCGAACCCGGACTTGTCACAATCCTAGCCCAAACCCATGTCACAGGCTGAGCCCTGACCGGGACACGCTCCGCCCAGGTCTCGTCCCAGACAGAGCCCCGAGGTCACTTCTAAAAGAGTGTCCCCCTTCGCAGCAGAGCCGGGTCGTGACCTTAGGCCGCTCTGACAGCCCTGACTGCCCCCTCCCGGGCACAGGGACTCACGCAGACCCGGGCCCGCTCTGCTCGGAGAGACACCTCGCAGTCTCGCTTTTACCTCTGCTGACTCTCCGCGGGAGCGGTCGCGCGCACCCCACCTGCAGATCTCTCCGCTGTGAACGCGGAAGAGGCGGTGCTAGACGCGGGGAGGCGGGCCCGACTGGAGAGGGGCGTGAGGGGGCGGAGCTGCGCCTGCGCTCTTATGGCTTCCCGGAGGGCGGGGCGAGCTGAGTAAACTGCGCAGGCGTGGTAGGAGAGAGGCGGGAGGTTGCGGGCTCGAGGGTGGGGCTTATCCGCTTCGGACGCTTTCCGTTCGGAGTTGAGCCAGGGAAGCCTTGGGTGGGTGGGGCGCCCGCAGTGGCGGGTGTAATTAACATTTATTTAGCGCTGCTACACGCCAGGAAGGAATTTTGGGTATATTTTACACACGGGGAAATGCTGCTGGCCTCTTATAAAACGGAGCTTTCTTTTAAAGGTCGGGATGCCTACAGTTTCACCTTTGATAGACATCACCCCCAGTAGTTCAAAATAAATTTTAAAAAATTAAAAAGTTCACTTATTGGAGACAAACCTCAGTAGATTAATGCCACCTCTTCCTCAGCTGCAGGTGCACTGAGAGGGGCTCCGCGTGCTGGCTGGGGTTTAATACAGGCCTTGACTGAGTGAGCTTCCCTTGTGACATGGAGGTAAACCCCTTCCCTGCCTGCTTCAGGATTCCCGGAAGAATCCTAGTGAGCAGTGCTTGTTAAAGGGCCCCTGGGCTTGCCTCCCACCGTCACTTGACAAACATTTACTGCCTTTCCCTTCTGGGCTCAATCTTTATGTGATGAGAAATCTGATGCATCAGGGAGTGTTTAGGACTTTGCTCGATTTCCCAATCTGGTTGACAGCTGGAGGAGTGAGAGCCTTCTCCTACGTTTCCGTGTTCAGACCCTTCTACAGGTCCTCAGCCCAACCCGAAGGCGCCTGTATATGCTGGTGTCTCCCGCCCATCACTTCCAGGCTACCCCAGGCTTCAAGTCCTCAGAGGCCCTACTGACTTGTTCTCTCCGCTCCCTGACTGTCTCAATATCCAACAGGTCCTGGGTGACTCAGCACTATGCGCCAATCCAAGTTCCCAAAATTGCTGTATTTGGGGTGGGCATGGGGTGCAGTAGCTAAGATGCTGCTTGGGGCACCCGCATCCCACGTTATAGTACTTGTGCTGAGTCCCTTCCTGCTCATATGTACCTGGGATGCAGCAGTGATGGCTTAAGTCGTTGGGTCCCTGCCCACATTCTGCTCTGCCCTCACCCCAGTGTAGGAGACCCAGATTGGATTTCAGGCTTCTAGTCCCAGCCTGGGCCTAACCCTGGCTCTTGCAGGCATTTAGGGGGTGAACCAGTGGATGAAAGTTCTTTGTCTCTCTGCCTTCTGAATAAATAAGAATCTTAAAAAGAGTTGCTATGTCTTCCACACGGCAATGGAGTCCCCCTCACATCAGATGAGGCCTCTCCCAGAGCAGGTGCAGTTTGGGGACCTCTCACCACACATTCCACAGTGGCAGCAGGGAAGCCCCAAGAGGTTGTTGTGTTCCTGGGGACCAAGGCTGCTGGGCCACCCTTTACTCGGTAGGTGGATGGATGCGTGGCCCCGGGTGAGAGGATGGCTTACTGCAACTCCAGCCATCATTGTGCATCTTGAGCCAACAGGAAAACAAAGCCTCGCCTGGCTTCCCAACCAGACTCTACCTCCAATACACCTTCTCCCAGCACACCCCCACCCTGCTGGGTTTTCTCCTGGGGCGGGGCGGGGCGGGGGGCTCTCTTTTCTCTGCTTTGCTGAGGCCTCAGCCCTCTTTGCTCTCCTCTCCTTTCTAAGCATCCCTCTCTGCATCTCTCAAAGCAGTTTGCTATTGGCATCCTGATGTATTTACCAACACTCCCACGTCAGGTGCAGGCCTTAGGCCACAACGTTTGGAAATAAATCTGCCCTCACTACCATAGTGTACTTAAAAATGGACTTACTGGTGGCATGAGCTGTCCCGTGATTGAGAGGAGGTAGTGAGTGATCAGTCATGGGAGGTGTGCAAATGCTGGACTTGGGCTTCTCCTGAAGATGGGACAGCAGAGTGAAGTGCCATCTAGATCTCAGAAGAGTGAAGGGGGGGCCGGGCTGTGCCGCAGTGGGTTAATCCTCCGCCTGCAGCACCGGCATCCCATATGGGCACCGGTTCTAGTCCTGGCTTCTCCTCTTCCCATCCAGCTCTCTGCTATGGCCTGGGAAAGCAGTAAGAAGATGGCCCAGGTCCTTGGGTCCCTGCACCCACGTGGGAGACCCAGAAGAAGCTCCTGGCTTCGGATCGGTGCAGCTCTAGCCATTGCAGCCATTTGGGGAGTGAACCAGCGGATGGAAGACCTTTCTCTCTGTCTCTCCCTCTCACTGTCTGTAACTCTACCTCTCAAATAAATAAGTAAAAAATCTAAAAAAAAAAAAAAAAAAAAAGAGTGAAGGGAGTGGGGGATACCAGGGGCTTGGAGGGGAGTCAGGCAGTTGGCTTTGTATTCATATATTTCTACATTCATGGACAAACTGGACTCAGTGAGCTATTGTATGTCAGGTACTGAGAGCTGTGCCTGAGACACGGCAGTAGCTACTCCTGTTGTTATGAATGATTCACGATGAGTAATGTGAGTTACAAAGGAGCTCAGTGATCAGTGTCCTTCACCTCCACCTCGATCATGGAACAGAAGGGGAAACTGAGAAATACAGGAGGACGGGCTTGCCACGGAAACTCAGGAGCCAAGCGGGGCTGGAAGCCAGGCCTCTGCCTCCAGGGAGAGCCCTGCCCAATCAGTCTGACTCCTTTGTAGGTAGAGCGGGCACTCTGGGAGGGCCTTTGCTGACTCCCAAGACTCACGCTGCTTTTCAGCTCCTGTCTGGGCAGCTTGTGCGTCAGGGGCAACAGAATGACAGCAGCACCTGAGTCAAGAGAATCAGGAGTGTGCTGAGGAGTAAGCCCGAGTCGGCCCGTGACCTGCCATGCCCGCTTTGCGATCCGGCCAGCAACAAGCGGCTTCCTGTGGAGCACGGCTTCCCTGTGCAGTGGTTAGTGCTGGGACTCTAATTCTACTCTGCCCCTTAACCCATGATGTCCCCACACCACCCTGATTAAGGCACTTGGATGCGAACAGCTAGTGCCAGGCAACCTGGGCTGAAACAAGGGATGATTCCCAGCTGAGTTCCTGGAAGGCAAGGGCCAGCCCCGGACACACCAAGGTCCCAGATTAGCCTGGCCTAGAATGCCCAGCGCCCTCAGAGAACCTGGCTGTCCCCACCCTGGAGAACTGAGCCATGCAGGACCACACCAGCCAGCCCTGCACATGGCCATGGCCCAGGATCTCAGGACAAGGGTCCTTCCCACTGCCATTCTGGCCAGCTCCTTCCACGGTCTGCCAGGAACCATGTGGCACCCAGACCACAGCTTCCCACCACTGGCTGCTTTAGTTCACCTCTTTTATTTTTACCAAAAATAACAACAATAAAGTCTTCCCTCTGTTTCACAAAAATAGATTTCTCCTCCCCCTCCCCGCAATCAGCCCTGGCCGCAGCCTAGAATCCATCTTGCCAGCCACAGTCCACTCTGCGGAAGCTCCGACGTCCCTCTCTGCAGAGTTGCTGGCCCAGCTTCCGGCCAGCATGTTTCCCTCGGGAACTTCTGTGGCGGTAGCAGTCCCCAGCCCAGCTGGCCAGTCCCAGGAGCTCCATCTGTTTGCCCAGAGGGCAGGCAGCTTCTAGGCCGTTGAGAGGGGCATGACTTCGGAGGCTTGGCTCAGCAGCCAACCCCAGCCAGCCCGGGAGGCAGCGGGGTTGACATTCTTGCTCAGAGCAGGAACAGTTCTGGAGAGGGCCTGCCACACCTTCTCTCCGTAGCAAACAACGGGCCCTGGGGTGGGAGCCAGGACCCTTGGCTTCTACTCCAGCCCCATGACAGCTTCACTTGGCGCGCACTGCAGAGGGCTCCCTCCTCTCCTGTGCATGCTGAGATGCTGAGACTGGACGTCCTCGGGTCCCTTCCGGCTCTCCATCCTAGCCTCCCAGTGTGGAGGCTCTGGGAGGGTGGAACCCCGTTCCTATTCTGTGGCTCCACCGAAGGTCTGGGCATGGAGGTACTGAGTGATGGGGTACTGAATGAACAGCTCGGGCTCCTGTGGACAGCTGGAATGTCTCAGGGCGGCTGGGAAGGAGGCAGGCACTTCCAGGATGGGGGCATTTCACGCTGCAACAGTTCTTTCACCAGCTGTGTGGGAGAGAAGACTGCAGTCACCAGTCCATGCTGCACCGGCTCTCGGGCTGGCAGATTATTCTGTGCTGGAACTTCAGATCCTAGGAGCTGGGTCTGTAGATCTGGGAAGCTAGATCGGCATCTACCATGCCCAGTGTAAGCACCAGGGTACCCTGGTGAACCCGAAGGATCATCCCCAACCCTCAGCTGGCCCTCCTGAAGGCAGAGGGATGAATGAAATGATAGCTCAGGGGCATCTCTGGCTGAACCAATCAGAACCTGCGTCTGTGGTAGTCAGGCAAGACGCCCTCTTCTTAGCTTCCCTCAGTTCCCAGGACTCGTGCTAATGGAAGATGGTTGCCTACAGGCTCAAATGTAGAGCTGCATCTGCAACCACATTCCAAGCTCTTACATAACTGTTAGACACACTGAGCAGGGGCACTGCTGACCTGTCATCACACCGACAGGTCACGGTCTGATGGTCCCAATCTCTATCCACCTACTCACTCTCCATCCTCCCATCCACTCATCCATCCATCCATCTATCCACCCATGTTTATGGAGGGCCTACTATGTGCCAGGAAGGTCGAAAGCAGTTACCTTTCAGACACAGCCCACAATTAAAATCTCTCTCTCTCATACACACACACGCACACAGGTATCTGGGCTCACTCGCACTCAGGCCGCTTGCTCTCTTGCAGGTTTCTTGCCATCACTTCAGCCACATCCACATCACCACGGAAGGGCCAAGTATCGGGGAAGAAATCCCCTGGCCGACCGTGCTCCCAGACTTCACCCCAGAGGTTCGGCCCCTCCTTCCCTCTATCTGCCCACCCTGAAGCCCTTCGCTTCCTCATTCACAATCAGTCAGGGGGACGTGAGGGCAGACTCCCGACAAGCAGAAGTCCAGAGGCTTCGGGTTTATGGA